AAACAAAAGGATTAGGATCTCTCTTTTTTTACCTCACTATGCCAGGAAATAACCTGATCCTATTAATAAACACTCCACCTTTGCTAGCAAAATAGAAAAAAGATTCTCATATATAAAACGAAGTAGGCTAATAAAACAAGCAAATTAATGAGTAGGCTAAATAATCAAGTTAATAATCAAATGTTAGCCCCGCCCCCTCACGATACTATCGTGTATCGCCGATCTCGCAGGCTGACGATAGGACGATATGAAAATGGAGCATATCGCCCAACACTACTCTAAAACTTCAAAACCCCCAAAAATAATGCAGGAGTCACAGCATATCTAAAATTCTGACCTTATCAGTTCTCAAAAAGCCTTGTTAATTTCATCCATACTACATGTCAGTGAAAAGGTCAAACAATGCCTGTAATATGAACAGTGAGCTTGCTAAAATCAAAAAAAGAGCATGTAATAATGAAACCATGATATTGACACGCATGAAGGAGATATTAGTGCATTGGTAAAAATATGGCTATTGTTCAAACCAAGGATATAGCAAGCAAACTATGCATTATGTAGCCTAAATATAACAATGTATATGTCGTGTTGCATTACAGTTTGTCTTGCTTGCATACATTACAAAACAATATTGCTTCCAAATAGGGATGGGGTTTTTTTTTGACATGGATTGGAGGAAGGACCATATTTAGGCACCACCAGAATATTATAAACAACCTGATAAAAATGGTGACTGCCATTTAAAATGATATTTAACACCCAAGTTGATGCATAGCAGCATGCTAAACCAATCTGAAGACCTTGAAGGCCAAAATCCTTCAGTGCTGATAATTGAAAACCTACCCAGAAAATGTGATGCTACTACGCTAGAGAATAAAGCCAAATAAATAAATGAAACATTCAGACAGTCTTATTTTAGTAATATATTATCTTTATACTTGCTGTTATTGGGATCCATCTTTTCCAAATACAGAGTATCATTTCATTTATTCACTGACGAAACCAACTGTATCTTCCATTTAAACAAGAAATCCTTGCATGTTTTCAGGAAGTAAAACTATGGCTTACACACAATTCTTTGGCTTTAAATGAGAATTACATCGTAACTTTGGCCAACCGTGGGTTGTTCTTAAATGTGCTTTATAAATAAATAATGAATGAAAATTATATGATGAATGAGGGTTAATTGCAAACGCTCTATGTTCTGGCAGTTCAGAGACTGCAGACCTTGAGCTTGAGTGTGTAACGGGCACATGCAATTGGATGTGTGTGTGCACAGCATGGGAGTGTTTAGCCAGCTGTCTCACACACACACGCACAAACCCTTTGACAGAAGCGTTAATGAGATTTGGGCTGCCCCGTAGAGGCCACACCCCTTAAGACGACTAGCAGGTCTTAGCACTAATACTGTTTTTGTTTACAATCATTTGAATAAGTCCTGAGCCATGACACAATCTCAGGAATGCACACACACAACAAGCAGGCAGGAGCAGAGGGATTTCCACACTCTATCGGGAGGAAGCTTTAGATTACGCATTCCCCTTCCCTCGCCGCATTGAAGGAGTGGCGGTTGGCATAGTAATCTCTGACTGCATGTGGCACTAATGCATGTATTATGCGTGTAAAGCTTTGCTCAACTCCTCCTCAGGAATCTCTTAATCATAAACAACTACACCACCACAAAATTGCAATTCAAACACCCCCTGCCGAAACCTTTTCTTAACATCTCAAATATTTGGCATTTCAATTACCCTATTTCAGCCATCTACAGTAACATAATAAATCACAATCTGAAGTCATTACTGAATCTAGAGGTGCTGACGTAGCATCTAAGTTGATGGGTGAAGCTCCGAAGAGCAGCAGAAGGGCCATTACCACCTCCGTGTGCCAGTCTGCAGATTAAATCCATACTGGTGATGGGATTCCTGCTGATTGGCTGGCTGTAACATTATCAGAGCTTGCCAGGGGCTGGCAAAGAGACTATGTTTTAGAATGAGGTGGTCTCCAGAGTCCAGGCCTGCACACACCAGCCACACCTACAACACAACACAACTAGGGGGGTTGTGACGTTTAATATATAACTGTGAGATGGACGCTTATAGTTAAAACTCTGTTAAGACAACACCGCTGTCGCAATGAAACTACACAACCACACGCACAATATATTTCATTCACATTGTTTAAAACCCTGCTAAACTGAATACATTTAAATATACTAACAACAATTATTATTATTAATTGAAATAATATAAAAAAGTAAAAGACTTGAATAGCTAGTATTTTTGTTGTCATTATTTTTGTTGTTTTATATTCATTTTAAATGTAGACAAATGCTGAACCATACATGAATGGAGTGCTAGATTTCAGCGCTGAGGTGATTTTGAAGGTTAAGGAGCATTATTTAGAGTAGATCAGCAACGAATAATTTCACAATTAACTTGCAAATCTGTTGAATTAGAATAAAATCCCAAAGCCAATGAAGGTACGATCTAATAACAAGATACAAGCAACAACCAAATACAGACAGCCCGGCGCAAGATGAGAGCACATTTTATCTCAAACGCAGAGTCAACAGCACTTTAGTTCCTATAGGAAGACCTGACCTATGAGCTCACACTGAGAAAGTTAAACTCTCGCTCCAGGAGAACAATGACTCCTGAGACAATGTTAACATGAGAAAAGCAAACCTTCCATCATAAATTTCCCGATTTTAATCGATTCAAACTTTTACAAACCGATATCGATTCTTAAATCCCAAGAGTCGGTTAGGCTAGTCATCCTGTTTTCAGTTGATGAATGAACGGAACAATCTAGCACACATCCTACCCATTAAATTGCAATAATCTTTGTGCTTTGTTATTATTGATATGAAACAAAGTCTGAGATTTCAAATTAATACGTCCATTTTCTTACGAAATTCAAAAACATCCCTTTTGGAGCTGTGGAGTGAGTTCGCTCTGGCTAAGCTCAAGAGAAGCAGCAGTGCATGATCTTCTCTTCCGCCTTTATAATACCAGTTACAAAGCGAAATAAACATGAATGAGCATTCATAAGTGATTAGATACTAAAGATACAGTACAACTTATCGAAATCCGTATCATGTCACATGCAATCACTAACTCTGTGTCTCAACCATGGAAAGACGTCAGTAAAACAGCTGGTAAACAAGGTATCACATTTACCTCAGAAAAACCATAATCCAGTGACCATAAACTCATTAGTCTGCTAGAAAAATTAACTCTTGAGGAGCATTTTGCAAAATATATATGCACCATTTTTGAATAGATCTGGCAAGTTTTTATGATTTTATACATTTAAAAAAAAAAAATCTGTAATTTAGGCTAAGTGTTTGTATACAAATCAGTAAATTTTTACCTTCAATCAATATTATAGTTGGCTAATGAAGCCTAGTAGGCTACTAGTGACCATAATTTACAGCATTAGTTGAGAGATTTGTTTTCCTTGAGAAAATTTGCCATGTATTGTACCTGATATCCAAATGTGTCTACAGAGCAGTCTACTGAGTTTATTTTTAAAACAAACCCACACAGGCTTCAATCTTTGCCGAGCGTTCAATGCACAAACACAATCTGCTCTTGTATGAGTGACTCCATTATGTCGTTGTATCTATATATAGCAATTTTAAGAGGTTGTGCAACCGTATGACCAAGATAAACATCCCCAGGATTCCTGACACAGTTTCATAATGCTGTATAATTCTTAATTTTTTTAATGAACAAGCAAAACTCCTTAAAATGAATATATAAAATGTACAAGAAAAACCTAGACAGGCAAGAAAAAACCCCAGCCAAAGAGAACAAATCTTACAATAGACAAACTCTTTATGTTCTCCAGAAAAGATTTATAAATCGTTCCAAGTATAATTTCTGTATGGCCAGCAGCTGTGCTCTAATATATTGAGAAAATCCTGTGTAACTTGAAAAACATAGATTCCATTCATGTGTTCAGTATGAAATCAGCCAAAGAGGAAAATTTCTGAGGCAGGCGGTCAGCTTGTCAATGCCTCCATTTCCCCTCTGCTTTTGTCCAATGAATCCAAGCAGTAAGTAATGCATCAAGAAGCCCCCTGGTATTCTATCGGTATTCACAAAAACTGTTCAGTATTTGCTGGCATTCACATTTGTTGAAGAATCTATGCAGGATGGGAAGTTAACCTTTCTGCAGTTGTCTTTTTTTTTTTATCCCAACATTAAACTTCTAACAGAATATCACTGAAAACATCTCAAACTTCTTTTTACCTAGAAGCGGAGAAAGAAAAAGAACTTTGCAGCGAGTATATCAGGACCTTAACCATAACCCTCAGCCATCAACAGCCAAACAGAGAGAAAATCTGTATTTCTCACGTTTTGTCAGGATAACAAATGATAAGCTCCAGCAATCGATATCTTCATTGGGTTGTTCATTGAAAGCCAGGCTACAGCCTGTGCAATGGAGGAGGGGTAAACAGCTTTACATATTCAACTTATTTTAATCTCTCCCTCATTACCTCATACTGATGATTAAATGCTCTTATCTATCCAACTCATGCACGTTCGAAGGTTAATTACACTGTGTATGGGACCTCAGGACAGATTTAACCTCATACAACTGCAAGACAACTCAATAACCAGACCAAATAACAGTCCTTTTTTTAAATAAAACAGCGTGCGGCATCAACGCATCTAAAACATTTCTCACAGTGGTTTGAAAGCTCTCTTGAGCCTATTACAACAATGTGCATCCTGATATGACACAAAAGGATTGTTTTTATCCAGGCTTTGCCTGTAGTCATCTTCTCATTGATTCCTCATGACAGTGAACCAGTGATCTTTTGAAATGTCAAACTCCCTGATAAATCCACGGTCCTTTACTGTAATCAAAAGTTGAATGAGGTACGAACACTCAAAGATGATGTCAATCACACATTCATAGATGTATTTTAAATGGTGTGCTATGGTCACAGCACAGCTCTGCGATTGAGAAGAGATCAGAGAACTTACAGCTCGTCACGTTGCCTCTGTGACAGCACCATGGTGGCGGTGGGGACAGGGCGGGGATGGGGTCAGGTGTAGAGTGTGCAGCAACTGCTGTCTCCTTGGCAGGAGATCAGAGAGAGGACGCCGGGTCCGGTTGCAGGGCGGTCAGCAGCTCACCCAAAACACTTCTCCTTAAAGACGGTCTCCAGGAAAACCACGTATTGAGAGCCTGCAGGCATCTACCAACCAGAAAGTCCTTGCATCTATGAAGAGAGAAAAAAAAGATTTTCATTCACAATAACAGGACAGAATCAGAATGCAATAAGTGCAGTCAGGATGCGCAGTGCTCATACAGGCTTAAGGCAACAGTGGAAATATGCTACTGACCCTGTTCCTCTGACAGTAGCTTTGGGGGCTAACACACATTTCATATCAGGTGTTCCATCTGCTCTATTTCCCCCAGCCCGCATCTCATTCTAGCCTGCATTCAGTCCACCCCATCGGCTGCCATGTGGAGCGTTTTGTTACGGACTCCTGCTGCCCCTGTCAGGAGCTCTGAACATGTGTAAAGGGGACCGCTGACCCAGATTTTAACATCAACCTACTTCTCCACTCCAGTGAGATGCACAGTTTGACAGCAACAAGAAGGCCTCTGAATTTCTCTCAGCTAAAAGAGAGATCACTGTGCAGTGCAGTGTGGATAGCAAAAGTACTGCTACTTTACAACCAAGGCCTGAAGATCACAACAACTGGTAATCCCCAGTCAACAGAGTTGGGTATCGAGATAAAACGGTATGAAAATTTCATATCACGATTATTAATGTTATCACGGTTTTGTTAAAGCTGCAGTCCCGTAGCTTTTTTGGGGGTTAAACATTATCCAAAATACATATTTGAGAAAATACATAGCCAGCAAGTGTTCAAAACTCTCTGCTTGCCGTAGCTCGATTCAAAGCGGTAAGCTTGTAATGTTTTTAATTCCAGTGGTACTGGTGGATTTCCACAGGAGATTCGAGCTTGTCTTTACATCACATCTGTACACATAAAGTAGTATCAACTAGTAGGCTATATTGCCTGTGAGAATGTTGGAGGAAGTGATTTATAGCATTTTCTCACAGCACTTGTTATAATTAAACTTATCAATTTGATGGCGGATCCAGAAAGGTTCAAAAGACAATCACCAGTGACAACAGATTCACCCGTTGTAAAATGCAAAAGACTTTGTTTGGACTTCGGAGTGGCTACAGAAAAAAAAAAAGAGACCGCAACCAGACCCATGCGAAAACAAGGATAATATCGGAAGGACATTAAATGTAGTCATGCAATGCTGACATTGTTAACATTAACAATTTGAGAAGAAAGTATAATTTGCAAGGTTTTGCATGATAGCATAACTTAAGCGATGTGTTAGATTTAATCAGCGCAATTTACTGCAATGTCAGAAGCAGAACAAAGGTGGATGTTTCTTACAATTACATTTATTCATTTTAGCTGATGCTTTTATCCAAAGTGACTTACAATTGCTAGTTATGTCAGAGGTTGTACGCCTCTGGAGCAACTAGGAGTTAAGTGTCTTGCTCAGGGACACATTGGTGTCTCACAGTGGATTCGAACCTGAGTCTCTCACACCAAAGGCATGCTTAAAGGGTTAGTTCACCCAAAAATGAAAATTAAGTCATTAATTACTCACCCCCATGCTGTACCAACCCCGTAAGACCTTCGTTCATCTTCGGAACACAAATAAGATATTTTTGATTGAATCTGAGAGCTGGATCAGTCCTACATAGACTGCCTAAGGGACTGGCTCTTGACGGCCCATAAAGTCATTAAAGAAAAGGTTTAAACATTCCATGTGCCTACAGCGGCTCAATTATAAGTTTATCAAGCGACGAGACTACTTTTTGTGCGAAAAAAACATAAATAACGACTTTATTCCACTATTCCATTACTTCCTTATGGGCGCATGCGCGAGAACTGAGACGAGGACGTTCTCATTCGTCTACTTCTTGTTACCGGCTGCTCACCGCTTAGGAGTTTTACCGCCCCTTACCGTATAAGATGATGTGCTGATATAGCTGGAAGCGCAAAACTTTCTGTTTACAAGCAGAGGAAGATGCGCGCTGTACATACGCTTTTCAATTTGCGTATTTTCCGCACTATAAGGTGCACTTAAAAGCCTTTAATCTTCTCAAAAAACGACAGTGTTCCTTATAATCCGGAGCGCCTTATATATGGATCATCATTTTATACGGTAGGTGGCGGTACTACTCCTAAGTGGAGCAGCCAGTAACAAAAAGTAGTCGAAGGAGAAGAACGTCCTCGTCTCAGTTCTCGCGCATGCGCCCATAAGGAAGTAATGGAATAGTGGAATAAAGTCGTTATTTATGTTTTTTTCGCACAAAAAGTAGTCTCGTCGCTTAATAAACTTATAATTGAGCCGCTGTAGGCACATGGAATATTTAAACCTTTTCTTTAACCCTCTGAGACCTAAGGGTATTTTTACAATAAATTTTCCGTCTGGTGTCATTTACTAAAAAAGCTTGTAAAATATCAACCCTTTGGTGCACAGACAATTGACACACCTCTTTTTTTTCAGGACAAATTGAACTTTCAGCATATCTGTGTTACATTGATGTCACCTGAATGTAAAATAAGTTATGGGACCATAAAGACAAATGAAAAAATAAATCGGAAATGGAATCACTCAATTATTTATTGAAATCACACACAAATAAATAAAAGCTAAGCAATTTTCCTCTGGAAAATAGTTTGTTCATGTCTTTGGAGTCCTGGAGCACAGGAATAAACATTATAACTTGTACAGAACAAAAAATATTGACATTTTTCCAAAAGAAGTCCAGGCGTTTGGGGCCTCATGAAATTCACTGGTGCCAAGCCTCAAAACAGTTCCTATCAGCAATCACACAGAGGGCCACATCACAGGCTTTGCATTTCTATTTTATTTATTCTTTTATTTATTATGTTCTTTTTATTCTTTTATAATACATTTATACTACCATAATACTTTTTTACAGTAAATAAATAAATGGCACTTCAGCTGGGTCTATCCTGGTAATCTAGTTCCTCATCTGTCAAAAAGCTCTGTTCTCCTGAAAATCCTTCATCCTGCAATGCACCAAAATAGACCAGCACTTTATTTACGTCCATTTCGCTGTGTTTCTCTGTGAATCGCGCGTCTCCGTGAGTCTCTCTATCTCTCTACACTATATCAGCGCTTGGTTCATGCGTAATGACGCACACCAATGTTTACAACGGATCAACCTGTAATTGGTCAAAAACCATCACGTGAAAACATCACGTGATATCCAGGATGTCCGCTAGCATCGAGCTAGCGGCAAAAATGACCGAATATTTATGAATTATGGGCTTTAAGATTATCAAAGTTTGACATAAAGCGTTTGGATTTATTGCTGAAAACCTCTGAAAGGAAGCACAAGTTCCAGGCTGGATAGAAAACCTTCTGTAAAGGCTAGAAAGACCCGAAAGACACCCCCGTGATGGCTAGCTCGTTAGCTTTCTGCTGGAAAAAACGGTAAGAAAATCGATAAATCTGTCATCGAGTTATGTAAACATTTATCGGAGGTGACGTGTGGCATCGTCGACGACGCCGTCGGGCTCAGGGGGTTAATTACTTTATGGGCCGTCAAGAGCCAGTCCCTTAGGAAGCCTATGGAAGAGTGATCCAGCTCTCAGATTCAATCAAAAATATCTTTATTTGTGTTCCGAAGATGAACGAAGGTCTTACGGGGTTGGAACAGCATGGGGGTGAGTAATTAATGACTTAATTTTCATTTTTGGGTGAACTAACCCTTTAATATCAACTGTGCCATCACCACCCCTATAAGAACTAGTTTCTTAGTAGTTCAGATTACATTTTCCTGTGAAAATTCTTATGTTGGTCATACTTGGATGACGTGTTTGACAATATATTCTTATACAGTTTTCAGCTTTAATTTTTCCATTCAAATTGTGATATTAACATATCATTAACATTGTTTAGTTGAATATTAGCAAATTATATAATTCATAAAAATATTTAATTACAGTTACATTTCATTGTCTAAAATAACATTTAGTGTTCATTTTGACGAACCGCGTTCTGTAGCTCTGTTTGTTCGCTGTCGCCTACGGTAGAACCATGATGTCACAATATGTCGACCTTTATAGAAGGAGGTGCCCGTGGCTTTTAAAACTAAGCTAAGGTAATTAAAACATTACGGTTTATTAAGCAAGTTCTTTATACACCACTGAAAACATAGTTATGGATGTCATATTGCATTTCTGTTAATACTAAATATTTAAACATTACACTACTACTAATCTTCAAATGTCTGTCTTTTCAGGTCTACTTATGAGTGTGACTCATCAAATGCATTGAAAGATAACAATAAACAAGCACTGTAAAAGGTTTTTACTGACTGGCTTTTCTCCTGTATGATTTCACATAAGTCTCTTCAGACCTTACTGTATTTATGAGCTTTCAGAAGTTCTGACTGAGGCTGTGTGACACCTCATAATTGAACTGCTATCCACAAATTGACCTTATGCACAGCTGCACTACTTCCTGAACTTAAGCCAGCTCCTTGTTTCCTGTCTGCCATTATTGGCCGAACTTGATTAATTCAGGTGTGTCTGATTATTGTTGCCGTGACTACTGAGGTCAGGCACACCAGGATTAATCAATTTGTCCAATAATGACAGACATGAAACAAGGAGCTGGCTTAAGTTCAGGAAGTAGTGCAGCTGTGCATAAAGCCAATTGAACATAAAAGTAAAAATAAAATAAATAACAGTTGTCTCAGTTGTCTTATTAAGTGCAAAAAATAAGTGCAACCATAATCAAAGTACTGTACTGCCCAACAAAGGTAAAAGACCTTAACTTGCTAGAGTGTGGAACTGAGAAAAATGACTTTAAAAGATTTTTTTGTTGTCCTGTCTGGCAATTAGATGTTTAAGTAATGAATATCTTTGTAACAAAATTTTGATCTCCTTGACTTGACTTTTGACCACTATTTTAAAGTTACTGTACTCTGCCTTTGTATTGTCAGCAAAAAGTGAGAAGTCATGCCAAGGCAAAAGGCAGTAACTTACACATTATCAATATTTGGTTGCTGATCCCCATGAACAAAATCATTATAGAAACACATGTATATAATTTAGTGATCATGGCATTTATGTTGTATGATTTACAATAAACTATAGCCTTCTACTCATTGTGCTTTGGTTACATTCCGGTGGCCCTATTAATAAATTAGACCAGAGCTCCAGACTAACTTTTTTCCCTCTGTCCTGGAAGTTGGAACTGTCCTGAAAAACAATTTGAACCATTCTGAAGTGAATTTGAACCCATAAAAACAATAGCAGTTGAATGGCTTGAAGTGCTTTCAAACTAAATATTATTAACAAGAGTAAGAGAACAGACTTTATGACTATCAGCATTTGACCTGCTGAGCCAAACGTGTCTCTGTAAATTTGCCAGAACCCAAGCACCACTTGAACTATGAACAACTCTAGAGGCTCTGATATGCTGACAGGCCTGTCATTAAAACGAATCAGATAATCACTGAAAAATACAGAGAAGCAGAAATCAAATCACCATATCATGACAGCCTCAGCAGCAGGCTTGCCAATCCCAGCAACGTTACATGTGATGCACAAGAGAAGGGCAGCAGGACAAAATGCCATGACAGGAATGAGAATTATATGCAGAGCAAACTCTTTATCTCCCATCAACCACTGCTTTTCTTTTAAATGTTAAAAATAGAACATTAAAGTTAAAATAGAATGTAAAGTTAAAGTAGCTTTTTCAGTCTTTGTCATGCAAAACATTAACAGCAGGTGAGGGAATCCAATTCATGCAGACCCAATTTACTAGAGGCACAACATTTATTGCGTCGGACTACAATTTCATATGAGAAAGTGCTTTGAGACTTCTGCAAGACCAATTGTAATCTTTTTGAAAATTAGATTAGGGTCAGAGAAGCAGGTTCAGGCCACAAATAAGCAGTATAAGTAGTTATAAGCCTATACATTCTCAAACTCACAGGCCTTAGATAAGGCCCTTAGTCATACTTCATACCAAACTGAGCCATAACATATAATCCTGTCCATTTCAGCATGTAGACTGAATCAAAAACAGGGACAAAATGCTATTGATCCTTCCAACTGACCACCATCTTGAAATCTACATTTCACACATCAAACAGTGGAGCTTTTAGTTGCCATGGTGAATGCATTACTGATCCCCACTGGCACCGAAACACATTATGGCTGCTTCTTTACAGACACACATCCAGTGAGCAAACCAAACCCACAGTAACGGTACTTCATGCCACGCCACCTCCATCCTAGTCCTTATAAACTGCCTGTTGGGACTCCACAAACACACAATTATCCTGCGTTATTTCAGTCAAGGGCTTGGAGGGGTCTCCAGCAACCGTCTGTGTGTGTGCAGCCGAACCACTCAACTGAGGCAAAACAGTCCAGTAGTGATTATCCGTTACTGCTATAAAAAGACCAATGTAGAGCACTAACAAGAGTATGTTATTAAGAAAAAGAATGAAACAAAGAAATCCAACATTTGCTGTATTCTGGTTTATGCTATTTGTTTATTAGGAAGAGATAATGAGAGATATTCAACAAGGACTTAGGCTAGACTAATTATTATTATAGCACAAATGTTGCATGATAAGAAAAAAAGCAAAGTGTAATCTGTTTCCATCATTTTCTGTGCATCTCAAACCCAAAAAACAGGCCTGCAAGTCTGTCGATTCAATTAAGTCGATTCTTAAGTTTAAGACAGATGGCAAAAGGAAACACCCCTCTTTCTGAAATTGTGCAAGCTGGCAAAGACAGACAGCCAAAAAAGCTTGGACTTGTAATAATTTCTCACATTTCCTTAATGGAATTGCAGGATCACAAAACAATTCCACTAAGGCAATGTTGAGTAGCAGCAAATCTGAATGGCACAGAATTCAAAAGATGACCAGACGTGAGCTGAATATCACTAACTTGAGATCACAATGAAGCAGTACATTAAAACATTTTGTATTATTTTTAAAGAAATTCATACTTTTATTCAGCAAGGATGCATTACATAGATCAAAAGTGACAGTCAAGACATTTAATGTAAAAAAAGATTTGTATTAATCTATTACATAAAATCATCATGGTTATCTATTTTTTCCTTGATAGTGATTTAAAACAGGTATATTTTATTGGAAATAAGGTTGCTATGCTATCAAAATTTTAGATACCAGTGAAATCACAATTCACAACAAGTCTAACCAAACCCAAACTTTTCAGTATTATTATGTATATTAGGCTGTTCAGTGAACCTAATACAAGCTATAACATGCAACCATACATGACACCTGTCAAATAACTAGAGGGAGTGTACAGCAAACTGGGCACAATAGCTTAAACCTTAACGATTAAAGTACATCCAAAGTACACACGGTGCCACATTTATTCAAAGCATTCACACCTTGATAAGAAACATGCATACACCTGCCTCTTCAGCATGTTTAGTCTATGCCTGCTTGCAAGGTATTGTTATTGCAGTCGTTATATTAGTGCATGTAACATTATTGTTGCATACCGCTTTGGACTAACATTATAAAGATGACCAAATATACTGCAGTAGTGATAATTACATTCACATCACAACATTACAGACCATCACAGAGTCCCAACGGAATGAGCAGTGTCGGGTCTGCATGCAAAGAATTAGCTGACCTACATTTGAGACCAGTTCAGCACAGGTACCGGTCCAAATCTTTAACTCGCCCATAATGACTGCATGTTTTATAACGTTAGCTTAATAAATGTCAAACATCTCGTTTTTCATAACCTTGAAGCAATAGCACATATGTTGTCTAGGTTAAGCTTCATTATTATGTTTAAAGACAACCAAGGTGCTTGACAATCTGAAGCTCGTTTGAATACTAAACGTTTCTGTTTAGTATGTACAATCATACATAGCTAAGTTAACCCCAAATATGCCATCTAGGTAAGTAGTTCACTAGGTTTTGAAACACAGCCCTCATCACCCTTATTCTCAACCGGTATGCAAAAAAACCGACAATATGAATGATGTAACGTTTATGTATTTACCCAAACCGAAGTGGATATGGCAAGGTCAACCTTAAACTTAACGTTTATAGATGATAAAATAGAGATTTATGTTGACACGGGCGTTAGCCAACTGTTGCTAGCTAACATGACATTGATGTAACGACGTGTTGATTCGCCGACAACATACACCTATAACGACCCGCTAAAACAGACCTGGGCCGGTAATTTCTTGTATTTACAGCAATAAATACGGTTACCCAATTCACACTGCTGGAGCTGTAGATATATTCACGACCAATTAAGAAAAAACAGAAGCTGAAGTATTCCTCCAACGGCCGCGTCCGCCATTTTGAGACACCGAGAAAAGGAGGCGCAAAAATTACATCAACAGCTTTTCTACCGGCGAATTTTTATCTAGCATAGCTAACCACAAAGGGAGAAACAAAAGGGATGTTCTTACCTTACAGAGTTAGCGCAAAATGTTACTCCTCAGACGACGGTCGTAAGGGACGAAATGCGTGTTATTTTCGTGTTGAGAAGGGGGGCTGAAGTCTCGGGGTCTGCCTCCTTGCAGCGCCGCATTCGACTCTACATAGCACGGGAGCGCGCATGGGCTGACTTCAGCAGGCGGACGCGCGCACGCCCTTCAATCTCACGCCCTCCTTTCGAAAACTGTGGGCGTTACTTGAATAAATATTCAGCTCGTCGCAAAAAATGGACCGTGAAAAATGATTTCTTTACATGACCCACATCAATGAACTTTAATCTGAGTACAATCAGACCGCGTGGCGTTTGTTAGAGTCACTAGTGTCATTCTCAAGTCAGATGCACAAACCAGTTAACATTGTGATTCAGGCTTTGAAGGTAACTTCCCAGCCTCATGATGCAAATTATTTATATTGATACATCTATTAGGAGTAATAATACAAACTTTAAGTAAATACAAACTTTAGTTCCTCTGAAAGAAAATTTAGACAATACCGAAAACAAAGTGTCCTGCGTTTAGACATACACAATATTTCAATGAATAGGCCTATAATCACATTGTTTTCTAGTTTCTTTATTCATTTTATTACAAAAGGATACTCAGACCAAAAATAATTAGATTGTTATTTAGAAGAACTGACATTAATGTACCACTCATTAAAGAAACCAAAACAGACACACAAAGGACATGACAAATATTTCATGTCGAAAACAGGGAATTCAAAACAACAACAAAAAAAAGAAAAGAAATTCAGACATCCTGGGGTCTGTTTGTTAGACAGATGACAGCTTTAAGATAGATGACATTGAGACTGAGCACTATACATTGCTCTAAATTAATACATTAAAAAAATGTACGTTCTAGTTTATAATCTAGTTTTATGCAGATTATTTTAGAGCAAATGTAACTAAATGTGCTGCAGACTGAGTGTGGCAGGTGTCATAATTGTCATAATCATTTGCTAACATAAGATATTTAAATGAATTAAGCCTTAAAGTCTCTGACCTTAAAAAAATGTTCTCAGTTATCTTCAAACTATTTAAAATTCCAAAAATTAACTTGTTTTCTTTGTTAGGCCTTCACACAGAAACATTTTGTGATTAAACTGTAATTTAAATATTTTACCCAGGAAGACATTCAAGACACTTTAAATTCAGAAAGGAAAAAAATAATACAAATACCTGCCATTTTGTTTTTACATCTGGTGTAAATAAAACCCAAACCTTTCCAAAAAAAAAAAAAAAACACTAAACATCTCAATTACATTAAATTGGTTTGTCATGCAAGCAGTTATTGAAATCTTGTTGGACATGTTGATTTACTACATGAACACATCACAGATTTAGTGAACATTATTATGAAAATGACTTTGCGGCTAAATTCAAAACGGTTTTAATCTACCAATTTGTTCTCTGTGAGATGTGTAACTATAGAAGCATAAAGATATTCAATTAAGATCATACTTAACAATCTTGACTGCAGATTGTTTACTTGTTATTTTTATAGACCACAGCCCAGGAAAAACCTGCAGGTTAAGTACCAGGCTCAAGAACACAGACACAGGATTTTCTCATTAACCCTTCAGTTCAAAGGTCATACTTATTTGACACCGAACTTGAGATGCATCTGTTACCAACTCAGAGCTTTAACCACTAAGCTACCACCATCACGTCAACAGAAAATCAGTCAAGTTTCTAATAAGTTTTGGGTGTTAATACCTTTTTAACTCTTTCGATTCCAGCACTTGTTTCGTTTCAAATGTAGTTCTCATATTATAATGTAATGCATCAAAAAATTAGTTTATGTCCATTATCAATCGAATATATTGACTGCAGCACACCCATGTGGCACCTAAGGGTACTGAAATAGACATTCAATGACTTCTGTCCAACATCCAAGCTTTCGCATTACAAAAATCTACTGATGGCCATTGATGAATTGACAATTTAAAAAAAAAAAAAAGTACAGTTTTCAGACATTTTGACTTAAATAAGCACACATCTCACACACTATTAGATATTCTTGCTCATAAATATCATTTACCAGTAAAATTGTTTTTTCCCCACCAATTTTCAGAGACAAACCATTTTGTTAACAATTTTACTTTTTGTTTTATAGAGAAATACAACCAGGCTAGCCGTTTTCTTGCATCCATGTACATAATCCAAGGTGCACTTAGTTCCAGCATATTGCTTCATACACAGCAACAATTTTGACATTTGCAGGACACACACAAAGCATGTATACAAGCAAACACATCACCCTTGATCGTCTTTTCTTTTCTTTTTTTTTGGTAAGTTGCATCAAAGCAGCCAATCTTATTCCTCCTTTGGTGGTACTATTTGAAAACCACTCAAAAATTCAGCACTGGAAAGTGCAATAAATACTGCTAGGGAGAAACACGAGGCTCGCAAGTTCCTGAACGGGGTGCTAAATTATTCTGGAGAATATATTGATCTTGTTTCAAAAACCACATTTACAAGTACCACATTTTCACCATCTTCGTCTTAGCAGGTTGCATGAGTCCATGCGTTATCAATAATGTATGTATAAAAATATCATCACAATATTGTTCTGTTGCAGCAGCTTTGGAGGAATCCTCAGAATCCATTTCAGCACTAGCATGGACAACAATAAAGAGACGTACATACATAGACACGCACACATACACACGTTTAAAGTGAAAAAGAGTTTCAACACAACAGTCTAATTCAAACTGGACATTTCAAATCAGTATTTCAATCAAAACGAATCAAGCTCCCGTCCAACCCCCATGACAAAGCTTTATACAGCTTCCAAATGTATTTCTATAAAACATACATGGCTTAAATTAACGTTTACTTGAAAGATCTAATAGCTTCTCATGTACTTTTACAAAAAGATTCCTTGTTTTACAGACACCACCAATCTTAAATGACTGGATGAGAACACGCATCTGTAAAGTTGCATTGATCTGATTTTGTCTAAAGGCAGAAGCCATGGAGAGCGCAGAAATAACGTATGGGACACAATACTACCATTCGGTCCTGAGACTAGACCTCTAAAGTGTACATTCTTAAGCCCATGATTCTCATATGTCTATCTCTGTTGAATTGTACGGTGAACGTATCTCATCTGGCGAGCAGTGTAGAAATCACCTGAGTTTTCAGAAAAGGATGTTTTTAGGATCTCTCTACACTCGTGGGTTGGTTTGGGACGGATTGTGGTTTATCCTGGGCTCAGATGAGAAGGTATGAGATGGGGTTGATGGGTGGATGGATAAGGCTCTGGTATAAAATGTCATGGTCTTCCTTGCTCACCACCAGCCTCATCTCTGCAAACTCAGAGGGGAAGGACTCCATTCTCTCCTGCTTCCTCCTCTGGTAGACCTCGAGGGGTCATGTTGTTGAATTGCACGTGTAAAACATCTGCTTTCATTCTCTTTACAGCTATAAACTACACTCTGTACACTTTATTTGTCACCTGTTCCTGGTCCTCCCTTCCCCATTATGCTCAAATTGAATTGGTTAGATTAGACAGCTCAGTTCTCAGGTCCACTGGTTCATACAGATGGCTGCTGCATCGTGTCCTCCTCATATGGAGAGGGGCTGTATGGTTGGGTCTTTTAATCATCCACTGGCAGCTTGTCATCCAGCTCTAACTGACTACCCTGCTGCTCCTCAATTTTTCCAGAATCCTGCATCAGCTGCCGCCTCTGCACCTCGGCCTTCAGATTTTCCAGGTCTTTTTGGCTGTGTGAAGAAATGAATGGCTTGAATTGATATATAATTAATTATACATTATTATAATTTAAAAAGGTTTCTATTTGAATATATTTGAAAATGTAATTTATTCCAGTAATGCTAATCTGAATTTAACACTGAAGACTAGAGTAATGATTAATACAGCATTGGTGAGCATAAGAGACTTCTTTTCTTTTGAAAATTTTGAATGGCTAGTTAATATATATATATATATATATATATATATATATATTAATTAGCCGAGTATTTCTTCCACTGGGGGTGGTGATGACGCATACACACACAGTATGCATATATGCATATCTCACAAGGATAGTTATTACATGTTGTGTTATGATTATGTTGAAAAATATATTATATGCTTAAAATGATTATGTTGAAAAATCTATTATATGCTTAAAATGTTTAAAATGACACAAAAAAAAAATTGTCAAAACAAAATGTTTGGTTCGCTTTAGATAAAAGTTTATCTAAAGTTTTTGTAAAATAATTATATGCCTTTTCACTCTGGGTAAAAATGGACTACAATTATATAACAAAATATTTAAAAGACTGACTTTAAACTGACGACTAAAAGCGGTGTAAACTTTTACTCACCTGAGAGGAATAAAGATGATGCCATTGATGATATTAAGCTGTTCCAGAACACTGGCCATGTTTGGTGCCGTAAACTACAGAGAGAGAAAAATAAACCATCAACAAAGATCCTGAAAAGATGCAACAATGTTTAGCCACCGAGGCTCAGGACAGCTAAGGTGTGACTGACTTTGAGGGGCATTATGCTAGCGTTTGATCCATTCTTGTAGATCTCGTTCATGGTTCTCTGTAGAGCCACAGCCTGCTGTGTGAGGTACTTCAGGTACTCAGAGCTCTCCTTCGTCTTCTCGTGGCCTTCACCAACCTTAAACAAAAGTGTATTGTGTTGTTATTAACATCTATTATGATATTATCAGTGCACTACAAGTTCATTATTAAAATCAGCCTTTTATTTGTGTAGCGTTTTAAATTGCAAAGGTTTGTACAACCAATTGTAAGATTAAAAGTGCAGTCAGATTTACCATTATTTGTGAATTTTCACGAGTGAAATCAATAGGAATCTACAACATGCAATCAAAACATTTCCCCACGGCTTCAATATGGTCACATGAATTTGGTGCATTGACCAACAGAAGGCTGATCTGATCTAATAGTGACTTCTGTGTGAGTAGTGCTTCATAAAATTGGTACACTATAGATAATGGACAATGGACTTTCTTTGGCTACAAAATTTTATGGAATTTTACTAACAAAACTGCACCTTAAATGTATCATTAAAATTCAATCTATATGGGATAGCAGGTCTGATATACTGTACATGTAAGGTTGAGTGTACCTGGTTCTTGTATATGGTATAACCCTCCTTCTCATGCTGCAGTGCAGAGCGAAACTCAGCTTTGCTCTCATAAACTCTGGCCACCAGGTGATGACTACAGAAAAACAGAGGATGAACATTACTACACATTTTGACTGCATATAACACCAATGATTTGAACTAGGCCTGGGTTGGCAACATTGATTAGTTTGATGAACCAATATCGCTTCTTAAATCCCAAGAATTGATCTTTTAGTCGCAGCTGTTTTCTGTTGATGCATGAACAAAACTTCACTGATCGTTATTTGTAGCGCACCCCCCATTCAATAATTGTAATAAGCTTGTAACATGATATGAAACAGTCTTAGCTTTGAAATTGTCGATTTTATCTGGAAATTCAAATAATAAATGCCGTCTTGGCATTCTTTAATATGCCGTGAAAGTTCAAGCGGCAAGTGGGCCGATTATCTCTTCCACTTTATGACTAGTTATAGCATAAACATGAAGGAACATCAGAAGATAAGTCAAAAGAGACAAAACTTACTGTAATGCATCATGTCTCATGTAATCACTCAAACAGTGTTTCAGCCACAGAAAGACATCAATAAACAGCTTGTAAACAGTTACACAACTACATTTACCTCAGAAAAGCCATTTAAAATGTCCATAACTCGCTAATCAGCGTGAAAAATAGAGGAACATTTTGAAAAAAAATATGCACTATATTGCACATTCATTATATTTTTTACACACCTTTAAGTGATGTCTCATTTATTGTATGTTTGAATAAATCTGTCATGAAAACAAGTTGATAGCAACCATTTAAATGTTTATATTTGAATAACAAATTGGAGTAGAAACAATTATATCATTAAAAAGTTGCCATTTAAATGTCTGTATACAGGACTGTTTTTATTTGAGGTTGTTAATTTTAACCTTTTACATTACGTACCAACTGACAGAATTGCTTCAGATGAGCGATTGAAAGATTGTATTGTGCCAGACATAGCCAAACGAATCAATATTGAATATAATTGAATTGCAATCAAATCAAATGCATTGTGAAATCTGTGTCAATAACCAGGTCTAGTTTGAACTAGTGTGTAAACAGACATATGTACCTGAGGGCTACTTTCAAGGATCGTGTTCCATGGTATTTTGAATTGATGGCCAGGGCGTTCTCCAGGAAACGCAGAGACAGGTCATACTCCATCACACCATGAAGCACCAGACCAATATTGCTCTGGGTCAAAGACAAAAGATCACAGTGAGACGTTGTAATTGTTCCACTTGCCTCAACTAAGTGACAAGACTTCAATTTCCTCTCGTTGACAATTCAGGGATAACATCATCAACAAAAGAAGGTCAGAACAGGATGGCCAGAGGTTAAAGCTGCAGTCCATTGCTTTTTTGGGGGTTAAAAATTATCCAAAATACATATTTGTGAAAATACATAACAAGCCAGTGTTCAAAACTATCTGCTTGCTATAGCTTGATTCAAAGCGGCAAGCTTGTAATAATATTTTTAATTCCAGTAGTACTGGTGGATTTCCGCTGGAGATTCGAGCAGGTCTTTGCGTCATTATGTCACCCCTGTACACATAAAGAAGGAGTCTCAGCTAGTATAAGCTAAATTGCGCAAGGATACTGGAGGGGGAGATTTATAGCCTTTTCTCACAACACTTGATATAATTAAACTTATCAGTTTGACGGCAGGTCCAGAAAGGTTCAAACGACGATCCCCAGTGACAACAGATTCACTCTTTTTAAAATGCAAAAGACTCGGAGTGGCTACAGAAAAAACAGAGACCGCAACCAGACTCATGTGAAAACAAGGATACATATTGGAAGGACATTACGGGCCAATCCCAATTCTACCCCTTACCCCTTCACTTTCCCCTTCCCCTCCGTTTTGCGCGTCCACGTGAAGGGGTAGGGCTGTCCCAATTCTCTTTTGGTTGGAGGGGGAGGGCTAGGGTGAAGGGCCAGATAGCCCTTCAAACGAAGATTTTTCGGGAGCACACTTCAAACGAAGGGGTATGAGAAGTGTCACTGCTAACCCAGGCTGGCTGCCCAAGCGACAAAGGAGACCCATAAATTTAAGTATTTGTGGCTTTAATAAGTATTATAACGACAAATAATGATTTGCTTTATGTTACATTCAATATTGTGTTCATATTTACGGTCAGTTTCTTCACAGAAACGTTTGTAAAAAAAAAAAAAAAAAAAAAAAAAAAAATCGCTAAAATTACTGTAGTTTGCTAACGATAGTCCCGCAACATATTTTCGTCGTCTCCGTTGTTTCCTGCGAACTTCACAAGATGCAAGAACCCACGCGACTGAGATAACTGCAACTGTCGACGGGATCTTGGAAGTTGTGATAAACATCGGCGCATCTCCTGTGACGTAGGCGCTAGCGACGACTTATAATGACGTTTAACGGAGGCGTAGTGGTGTCCCATTTCTTAGGGGAATATATCACCCCTACACATTGCCACTCTGTTTCAAGGGTCAAGGGGAAGGCGAAGGGGTAGGGCTAGGGGAAAGGGAAGGGGTAAGGGGTAGAATTGGGATTGGCCCTACGTGTAGTCACGCAATGCTGATGTTGTTAACATTAACAATTTGAGAACAAAGTATAGTTTTGTGTGATATGATAACTTATAAGCGATTGTTGATTCTGAATGCCAGTATCTACACCGGCACATTGATTGACAGTTGCACACTCTCCTCAAACATCGTGTTCATCCGCGTTGTGCCGTGATGGCGACAAAGAGGAAAAACGCCGGACTGCAGCTTTAAGTATCAAAGCATAATAAATAGTTTAGTATATAGTCTAATAAAAGTTTTAGGCTTACGTCAAGCAGGGCCATTTCAGGATGGTCCTCCCCACACACCACGAGCATGAGGTAGCGAGCGCGGTATAGCAGCTTCAAGGCAGTGGACAGCTGGCCGTTGGCAAAGCAGTACAAAGCTAAGTGCATCTGTGGAGAACAAACATGGAACATTTAGAGATCACAGAGACTCATTTATTGGTTTGAGGTTCATTTATTGTTTTAACTTGACTTTGTAGCATTTGTACATTTTCTGAGTGGTAGCCAGTATCAGATCTGAATATCTGCTAGCACATTTCTAGGTGATAGCTATAGCAATACAAGTTCTTCAATGCTTGTCTACGTGATTTCCTTTCCAGTTTTATCATTCGTTTATCCTATGTCTTATCCCTTAGAAAAGTAACAGCGCACCACGTGATTTAAGAGAATAGGGTTTGTTTAAAGTAAGACAAATAGAACGAACAAATAAAATATGTACAGAAAATGATGTGACTACTTACATATTCTTGAATAGTGTTGGGGTGTTCAATACCCAGTGCTCTCTCACTCATCAGGACAGCCTTCTGCTGATTGCTCAGAGCCTTGAAAAGATGGGGAGAAAAAAAATCAGCATCACTAAATCCTAAAGAATTATCAATAAACAAGTCTTTTTTTATTATTATATTACATTTTTATAATATTAGTTCACACTTTCAATTAATAATATCAAATTATTTAGCATTCATTTTAAAATAGAAATCTTTTATAATATTATAAATGTCTTCAGTCACTTTTGATCAATGTAATGGATCCTTGCTGAACAATCTTACTAACCCCAAACTTTTGAACGGTAGTGTACATTTATCTACAAAATTAATCACAAGAAATTAAACACGAGTATAAAATATAAAGTTTTTTTAAAGGGATATTTCACCTCTGGAAAGATGAATGTGTATTTAAATTGGGTCATTTATGTAGTAGAAATGTGAAATTATTTTAGAAGCTGGTGCCTTCTAAACTGAGAAAAGCCATAAAATTTATTTTTGGCTTATGTGGATGAAAGACAACAACTCCCAGAATGCACTTGCTTTACTGCCCTATGAGGCCACTCCCAAGACACGCCTATCGGTCACAGAGGACAGTATCAGAAGAAATGCTACAACTAGGCTACTAGTTGACTCGAAACTGAAAAGACGCCATTTTATCGTGAGATCCCACCCCACATGGGCAGGTTGAAAAAAAGCCGGCCAAAAAAGCCTACAATGACGCAAAAGTTTTGCGTCATTGGTAAGTTTTTTTCCCAGACACACAATACAGAAATCTCCCGTCTCAGAGGTACATGAGGGAGGGAAGCATGGTCATTCGAAAATACTACCGGGTTTCTACTGATACAAAGCTTAATGTTAATCGAGGAAGTATCCCTTTAAATCATTTTATGACAAACTCATTCATTTTTATCCAAACATGTGAATTGTAACAGTTTGTAGGATGTACCTCAGGGTGATCACCCATGATGTAGTTGAGTCGGGCCAGAAGGCGCAGACAGGCACAGATCTCCACATGCATGGCTCCATACACATTGTTGAAGAGGTTCAATGCCTCGTTGATGAGCTCACAGCCCTCTTTTAAGAAGCCTATGAAACGAGGAAATATCAATCAGCATAACAAACCCATTGTATGTGTAGTTTCATTGATGATGTGTCGTAAAGTACCTTGCTGAACCTTGGCCTGCCCGCTTTGGAAGAAATGGAAGGCATCTGAGGCTTTGGGGTTGACGTGCTTCACAACAGGGAAGATATTCAGGATGTCCTCCTCGGTGAAGGCTGGCTTGTGGCGGCTGTCAAAGTTGTACTCCTTTATTAAGATCTGCAGGGGAAGCACAAAGGAAAGCCTTGTCACTACCGGCCTGACGGAGAACCTCAGAGACACGTAGCAAGATCGATAACAGCACTACCTGAATGCCAGTCTTGATTGATATCTCCCTCAGCAGTGTGATCTTCTGCAAGTTGTACTTCTCCACTGCTTGGTCCACACTTTCACTGCGAAACAAAAGCACAACACCATTAAAGCCGTGGTACAACTAGTAACAACAAAACTTTGTATTTTATTATACTACATATACTACATTATATATATATATATATATATATAGTTCTCACCATTGCAGATTAAAGTGATAGTAGCTTTGTGCCTCAGAGGTAATGTTCTTCCACAGCTCACTGGGTGTCAGGCTGGCCCAGGTCGTGTTGTCTCCTCCACCAGGGACACGGTTACGTCTCTTGCGGTTCTTTCTGCGGGACACCAGCTCATCTGCAGGAAGGTGAGCCACTGCATCTGGGAAAGAACTCAAGAAGCAGTTCAGGAAGTGGCTCACCGCAGCGGATAAAGCAGAGAGCTCCACACCCTGCAAATCCAAAAAAATACGAGCATTAACACAAAGGTAAATACTTCTTAAGTAATAAACAGTACAATGGTTCAGCAATTGTTCTTTTTTTGGAAAAGTTTCAAGATGCATAACATAAATCAAAAATGAATGCCATAAATCAACAATCCCATTTAACTACCATGGTAAAGAGATATACTTATCATTTATATCTAGATATGAACACTATAGTTCAAAAATGTTGAGTCATTTAAAAAGAAAATAAATGTTATATTCAGCAAGGATGCAATAAATTGATCAAAAGTGAAAGCACACACATTTATAATGATTTCTATTTCAAAGAAATGCTGTTCTTTGAAAATTTTTATATATGATTAAAATCTTCTTAAAAGGTATCAGTTTCCACAAAATATAATGCATCACAAACATTTTCAACAAAACTTAAAAATGTTTCTTGAGCAGCAAATCAGCATATTAGAAAGATTTCTGAAGGATAATGTGACACTGATTCAGCTTTGATAAAATAATAAAATGGAATGAAAAATTAAAATATATTATAAAATCAAAATAAATATATAAATTTAAATCATATTTAAATAAAAAAAAATATATAGTAAATTACGTTTAGAAATATTACAATCAAATAAATACAGGCTTGAGCATAAGAGACTTCTTTCAAAAACATTTAGAAAAACCTTACCAAAGCCCAAACCTTTGAATAGTAATATGCATGCATGCCAAAAAAAAAAAAAAAAAAGTAATAAGCATGTACCATGATATTCCTGTCAATGTACCAAAGTAGTAACTTACCTGAAGATATGTTTTGAAGATATGCTTTGCACATCTGGTGATCAGCTCACTGATACCTATTCTCTGCATAAACACAAATTAAATATATGGTCTTTATTATATATTACAAAAAAGTTATATTTTTATAAGTTAAAAAAAGTTATAAGTTCTAATATATATATATATATATATATATTTTTTTTTTGTAACATTAAAATATCAGGTGCACTTTATTTTACAGTATATGCACTTGAGTGTAGAAAGTACCCAGGAATATAAGGCAACAAAATTAACGTGGTTAAGGTTATGTTGTAGGTGCAAGGTCAGTACCTAATTATAGCAATAACTATAATAAGTACATACTATGTACATGTGGAACGGGACTGTAAAATAAAGTGCTACCGAATCATCCTTCACTTACATAGATGTGTTCAAGTTGTGCTTTTGACGGCATGTTGTCCACAAACTCCAGCACAGTACCAAGATAACGTATATTAATGCCACGCTGATGAAGGGCTTCTATCATTGTTGCACCATCCATAGGCAAAGTGCTGTGATCTAAACAGTCTTTTACCTGCACACAAAGATAAAAAAAAAAAACATTTAGGTCAGCAGTCAAATTATTATATTCTAAAAACACTTTCAAAGGCATCTATGCCTTTGTACATGTTATCTAAAATAAGTATGTGCAACAATATAATATTAATGTGTCAAGCTGCTATGTTGCTTGGAAACTGCAAACAGCACATGATTTCATATCAGTGAATCATATCATTTAGGATGAATGGCCTATTGGTGGAATATTGTTTTAATATTTATTTAAAAGTGGGTTATTTTATCATATTGCAATATACCTGCAAGTTTATAATAATAATAAGCCACTTAAGGGAGTGCATTCAGATTACTTTCCCACAGCCTGTGATAGATTATTGCTTTAATATACATGTTTTTTGTTTTGTTTTGAGAAAGCAGGTGTTCACTAACAAAAGAAGGGATCTGGCAGGACACTAGGAAGGCTGCCGCCTCTTTGAGAAGCTGCTTCTGTTTCTTGATGTCCTCAGCACTGTCATCTGGGAAGCGGACTCCTGTAAGAGATGGATGAGGTCATGTGACCAAGTTTGCCCATACTGTCAAAAAGATAAATCACACACAAAAAAAATATACTATACCTGGAGAGAAGATATCTGGATTGAAGCGAATGTCGAAAGAGGTGTTGCTGATAGAGCCTACAGCTTTACAGGCGTTGAGGACCACCTCTCTGCTTTTAGGGTCTGTGTAAAGGCAAATGTTCCACAAAATGTCAACAAATAAAAAAAAACACACACTAAAATAAATAATAATAAAAAAAAAAAAAACAATCACAAACGATTGACAACCATAATAGGGTGTTTGGTTGAATCAGAGGTTTTCAAACTGGTGGTCTACAAAAGACTTCATAAATTTAAAGGGGTCATGAACGGCAATTATATATTCTTATAAAATATTTCCTGAAGTGTAATTGTTAGTATGATTTTTACATCAAAAATTAATGTAAAAAAATGTAAAAAAATATTTTTTTACTCTGATTTTAGCCCACCGTTTTGAACACTTTGTTGGCGTGTCTGTTTTAAGACTCCAGTGTAAACGCTCACTTTTGTGATTGGCTAACATCTTTGCATTTGAAATAAGTATTACATGTGGACATGTGTTACATGTGTAGTACACTTGTACTACATTTTTACTATTACAGCTGTCAAGATAAACTAACCATGAAAAGTATTGATAGCATTATATTTAGATCTACTCACGTCGTTTTTGGACTAACGGGGAAGTTTTGAGTTCTGAAACTTGCTGTTTTGAGTTCTGAAACTTGCTGTTTTGATAGCACAAATGATCTCTTACATGTCAAAAGATCTCTCAAATCGCGATTTCTCAAATCATGACCTCTTTAAAATCATCTAAGTATAATCCATGGAAATTGACAAACATTAAAATATATTCAAAATAATACATTTGAATATTAAAACATCTATATAAAGTTTGAAAAACCCTGGTTTCAATTATTAGAATAATTAACAACGGGGTTATAAAACAAATAATCACCACACGTTAATCCAACACACAATAAATTCATTTGGTTTGAATTGGAAAAATCTCAGGTTTTCTAATCACCACAGAGAAAGATTAGAAGGGAGAGTGTTGACAGGTGGAAGACGTGGGGATAATAAACTGAAATCCCAACACAGTGGAGCCAGATTACTATATAGCCAATCTAGGAGATCCTCGTCTCCGTTAATGAGTCTCAGAGAGAACATGAGCACACAGCAAGAGGAGAGATGCACTGAATACACACAGATAGCAAAAGTAAAAGACAACAGCAGGGCATATCTAATGAGTTGATGACAGAACTCAGATGAAGCTAAGATAAGAAAAGGCGGGGGGGGGGGGGGACCCCAATATGAGTGCATGTCTCTGCCAGCTCTTGCTCTTGTTCCCTCTCATGCTCTTTTCGGTCGCTCACAGGACGTACCAATACCTGATCCATCTTCCGCTGCTAAGGACTCGGCCAGCTCTTTAGCTTGGGCAAGTCCAGGAATTATTTCATCAGCTTCCTTACCCTCCAAGAGACTATCACACCCTCCATTCTGCCTCTCTGGAGCTGAAGGCTCATGAGTACCGTTGGTGTTTGCCGTAGGAACTTGGGCTGCCTGGTTCTCAGGAGCAGAGTTTTCGGACACAGTGTTTGACTCTGAGTCATTAGGGGTCAGAGTGGATTCAGACTCAGAGGAAGTTGGAGAGGTTGGTTTGTCGTCAGGAACCTTTTCAGATGCTTCAAGAGCCTGCGGTTTGCTTTCAGACTCCACATCTGCAGTGCTCGTGTCATGCAGGGCTGCGGCCTTGTCTTTGTTTGCTTTCTGCTGCATTAGCTGGAGTGCGGCCATCTTCATGAAGAGGAGATATCTGAGGCACAAGAGAATGACATGTTTACACCCACTGACAAACTAGCCTTCAGGACATTCAAGAAATATGCAATTAAGGAGAAAATTAAATACTTAAAACATAATAAAATCTCTAATTCACACACATTTTCTAAGTTTTTTTTTTTTTTTTTTTAATTTTTGAATGGTTATATTTCTATTAATAATAGTATTAGTAACTATTACAAAAATCACTAACTAAACTAAAATATATTTAAATATTTACTTTCTATTTTTTGAAAAAGTCACTAAGAATAAAAAAATATAATATTAACAGTAATATCATTATTATTTTACCTTTAACTATTAACAAAATTTAACAGTGGGTGGTGATAGCGCAGTGGATAAGACAAATGTAAATGTAAAATATATTTGTAAATTAGATAATTATAAAATTATATAAGTGCAATTATTATAATATATATGTAAATTATATATACACACACACACAAATTACTAATATAAGTTATTAATAATATTAAAAATAATTAGTAGTAAAAATAGCACAAAATTAATGGTAAAATGGGTTAAAAAATATTTACCTTTTACTTTTAAACTAGTTACAAATAATAATTTGTATTATTCTTATTATATTATTAGTAATTTATCTAACAATGAATATAATAGTTACAAACGATTTTTCATACCTATTTTTCTTTAATTTTATACTAGTAGTTACTTCTATATTTATAATAATAAAAATCATCATAATTCATATTTTTATCATTAATTATAATATTAATTCTATTAATTATATATAATTTATATAAATAAAAATATTATTTATATAAATTATATATTTATATAAATATATATAATAAAAATCATCATCATGATTCATATTTTTATATGATATAATGATTTATATGATTTATCATATATCATGATTAACAACAAAGTATGTGGCTTCATTCTTATGAGATAATTTTACTAAAAAACTGAAAGTGGTACACAAACCATACTTCCATTACACAACAAATGGGAGATCAACTTTACTCTACTTTACATGTTGATCAAGTAGCAGGAACACACCTGTGCTCTACAAAGGCCTCAATGAGCTCCTGGCGCAAGCAAGCCAGGCGATGGCGATGTAGCCGGGGGAAACCCAGCTTCTGGCTCTCGGCCGTGAGCTCTTCTCCTTCCACTGGCAGGAAGTTGAGGTCAGGAGGGAAGGTACGCAATAGGTCCAGGATGTAATGGCGCCCATCGTTGCCAATGATACCCTTACACTCCACAGAGGAGCAAAGCTCTACAGAAGCGTCTTTCTCGTTGAGCACATCATGCCGCTGCACCTTCAGAGGGCGGCTGGTCTTCTCCAAAAACTCCAGATACTTGGGATGGGACACTACGGTCTTACCAAAGTCAATGGAGCCATAGATGACACTCTGCTCTTGCTCCCGCTCCAAGATGCCAGGAATGATGGACTGAGCGGTTACACGATAACCTCTGTAGTCCACCACCACCGTGCCCAGGGTGTAGAGCCCCTCCACATCCACAGCACTGTATGCCCTCACCCCATTCAAGTCGTTGGTGGGGGCGGCGTGGGCGGCAGCGTCCCCGCCCAGCTCCTTGTAGTGGTCACGTACGTCAAAGCCCAAGCTGAAGAAAATGTTGTTCCAGATGAACATCTGCATTCGCGTCTCCTCTCCAGGATTGATCGCCATGACATTACCATCAATCACTGCCATCGCACCACGCGTCGCCGCAGCGGCAAAGTCACTATGAACCTGGGGAACAGAAGTGCGTTGGTGAGCAGAACAATTTATCAAGTGAAAACGACTTGTTCTGAAGCTAGTGCTGGTATGTTCACCTTGAATATGGCTCGTTCTCTCAGCAGACGCTCAGGGAGGTTCTTACGAGAAAGTTCTCTGGTTGTCTGGAGCTCCTCGTTCCAGTCTCTAGTCTATCATAGAGAACAAGAACATTTTAATAGCCCTATAAATTAAATGACTCAAAATTAAAACTTTGTAAGACATACTTGGCCAGGTATGTGCTCTTCATAACCCAGACGGGAGGTGTAGGCATCCTCAGCTCTCACACAGTCCATGGCATGGTCGATCTGTGGTGCAGTCCAGCTGTACACTTGGAAGGGAGTAGCTATTCTCTCAAACGGATGTCTTTGTACCCTATTATCAATAACATGACATAGCATAAATGAAGAACAAAATGCCTCTAAAACTGTGACACAAATAAACATTTACACCAGATGTTCTCAACTAGGGGGCCTCAGCAAACAAACAAAGGACGCCACGGGATGGCAATGTATTTAAATGAATACATTATTCAAATATTCTTGAACCTAAACTAAAATGATAATCAAGATGTAAACTGAAATCAAATAATAATTATTGTTTTTACTGAAGAACATGCGTTCTTAAAACTTTTGAAGTCACATAATGAATCATGATAATTCATTTAAATATCTTTCTGTTCCTGTAAATAAATTTTTTTGAAAACAAGCAGTTGTGTCATAACAACTACACCAGATTACCCTGAAGGGAGGATTTCTGATTTTGTGACCACATATGACCTGCGACTTCATAGCATTGATTATGCAATGATGACTTGCGATATCATAGCATTACTGTATGTTGATAATGCACAGTAAAGTAAGCTTGCATTCTGCTGCTCCCAAGTGTCCTTTGTCACACTGCTCAGTAGGATGTTAATATTAAGTGCAAACGTGGCCTAGCTGAGATAAAACGGTCATGATTCTTTAAACAGGCTAGAGCTGGTTTACACAAAAGGAGTTCTTTGTCAGTTTAATCCAAATATAAGTGAAAGATAAACTAAACTGGTATTAATAATGCATTACCTCTTCTTTTGCAGAGCAGTAAAGTTCTTCTTGAAGGTGGGGCTAATCTGACTCAGCAGTTCAACTAGAGAGTGGCTGAGGAAGCTGGGGTTGGCTGGCTTGGGGTTGAAGATATAAGTTGTGGACCTGCAACAAATCACCAATAATATTACAATTCTACACTATTTTGTCTAAATAAACATTTTACACGCTATAAATGAACATAGGCATCACAATATTATAATGTAAGAGAAAATGATTGAAATGATGCAGGCTGAAGGCTTCGACAAAAGCATACAACATTGGTTAACAACCTCGTAGCTCAAAGGCCCAGTTTTAAAGATTTAAATTATCATTGAAGGCAAGGTAGGCGATTTGTTCTATAATTTTTTTTTATGCTGGTTAAAAGTCGTTGTGTGGTCTAAATGTATTCATATGTATATACTAGGGAGTGGTATTGCATCCTTTAAATCTCCAAAAAGTCTTTAATTTTATTATATTTATAAAAGAAAGATAGGCTGTACCGAGTCTTTCCATAAAAAAAACGAGCGGTTGGAGGCATGCCGTGTGGGCGGAGCTAAATAATCACGAGTGCGCAAAGCTTTTGCGTTGAGAGTGTCTGGAAGCTGTGACATCCCAAAACACACAATGGCTAACAATCAGATTCAGCCATACATTTTTGATCCCGAATCAGATCCCGAGGCTGAAATTGAAGGCGAGCAGCAGCAGTAATGACTACAGCAGGACGTCTCTATGTGGTGTGTACTGGAACTGTATAATTTATATTTGCTTAACGGTTTTTGTAAATGACTAATTTTCACTTTATGTTGTTGTATTTATTTATTTATTTTGTGGGAAGTATACGCCTTATTCACGGTAGCGCCATCTTTGATTTTTAATGAGAATGAAAGCAAGGCTGTGAGGGATAGTCATGCATCTCTTCAATGGGCTGTACTGTTATTTAATGTGTTTTCAGATTGTTCTGCTCATGAAACACTGGAAAAATATCTTTCCAAGAAATTTCAGTTGACAAAAAAACTCCCTACAATGTAAGCTGTGGAAAATTGTAAGTAATCTAGGAGCTTTTTACAGCGGATGCCATTGGAAACACGGTAAGTCTATCCCTCACAGCCTCACTTTCATACCGGTCATGGCGCTGCTCTGAATAAGGTCTATAGTTTGATGCCGACCACAATAGAAAAAAAAACAGCCGAAACTTGTATCAACACGGAAGTAAGATTTACACAGGACCGAATTTTTTTTTTTCAAATGTATGCATTTCAATGTCAATATTATCAAAGGAGAAATGAATAGCAGCAGTCAGGTTTACAAACTGTGATGTGGGTTCATGTGTTTTAAAGAAGGCGTTTGAAGGCGCTCTGAAGGGAGGGTGGGATCTTAAGCTTTCAAAGCTAACATGCTATTGCAAGCCGCTCTGAAATTTGCCTACCTTACCTTTAAAAATTAAGTAAATTAATTGGATTTTTACTTCAGCAACCCAACTACTGCACTCTACAACTGATCATGAAATGCCACAATGACCCATCAGAATCAAGTATTCATATTAAATTCGCTTACTGATTGAGGTAGAATCCACGGGTGGAGGCAGTGATGCTGACGTGTCTGTCCTCAACAGTCACGATGTACAGATACATAAGGTCTCCGTGCATCTTCCTGTTGCCAGGCGGTGGGTTCCAGCCACTCATTGTCAAGACCTTCAGGCACTGCATAGGCTGTAGACAGAGAACAAGGCAAAAGTAAACTAAAATCTCAAAACAAAAGCAAGTCATGGCAAAAATCTGTAATCTACTCTGACCTTCCAGTCTTTATTCTGTGGCTGAAGGGGCACCAAAGGACGCTCTTTGCTGCCTGGCAGAATGTGTTCAGGTGGTGTGCAATCAATCTGCTCAAGTTCACTGCCCTTCTTTTTGCGTCTCCCAGTATCTGCGGATGGTAAGAGCAAACAGGCAATCGATTACCAGCTGTCAATCTCCTAGAAACCATTTAAGACCTCACATTCTTCCTGTCACAGACCTCCAAGATCTCCATCGGTGAAGACACTGAGGAACGAGAGGGAGTTGCAGTCCACTCCATTATAAGCGTCTGATGGATCAAGACTCTTCAGCAGGTCTCTGATGTGACGGACGTGAATACGAGCTTCACGCACTGTGTAGGGCTCTACACGGGTGAAAGAAACGTTGAAAGCTCAGTACCTTCAAATGAGACGTATACTTATGGTAGAAGGTCTCGAATTGTACCTTCGACCACTTTGAGAAGAGAGCCTTCCTGCAGGCCCTCAATGGACTTGAGCTCGGCAAAGTTGTCAAGTACATTTCCGTCGAGCTGTAAGGAAAAGCAGGTGCGGTGGCAGGTATCCTCGCGGTCCATCAGTACTTGATGGATCTCTTGCACCATCTCTTGTGGTGACACCTGAGTAGGAACCACAGATTTTGTTACAATATTTTGTTACCAATGTCTGTGATGTGAAGTCAGTGTAAGAACAGGAATTACCTGAAGGTCAAAGGGTTCGGTTCCAGGTGCTTGGATCTTCACAGTGAAGCCAGTGTCTTGAATTACGATCACTTCCTGTTCGTTGGCATCCTCTGCAAGGTCTGCATCGGCACCGCCATCCTGCTTGGAGTCGGCCTCCTCATGACCAGCGTCCCCGTTCATTACTGCAGTGTCCCCACGGTGTCCTGTGGGTAGAGAAATAAAAGTGTTACTATTAGATTAACTTTCAGAAAAAGAAGTTGACACATTTTATCTTGTGAGGTGGCGTTAGTTAATTACAAATATTATGTTATAATTATTAAAATTGAAACAGTTTCAAACTTGCTTGTGATTAGAATCAGACTGAATCACTCATCCACAACTGATACCTAAATCTGAAGTCATTTTTCTGTCATGTAGTACATCTCTAAATGTGTCTGTAAGTCTTACGCGAGTCTGTTTACTGAGGTGTTGTTCATATGACAATAAGTAAATAAAAGACATTCACAACATGAAAAAACAACAATTGAAAACAGTACAAATAAAATCACGATCCCTAGATCGAAACTACCACATACAAATAGAAAACACCATAGTTCATTTATATTAAGTTATTAAGTTTTATATATTTATATTTAATACAGTTTTGTTATTAACTAGAACCAAATAATTCAGTCATTTTCAGTAAAAGAAAAAAAAAAATGAGTTAGAAATTCTCCCTCTGCAACAACGAGTAGGAAAATTTAAGTTTTTAAACTGGAACAAAATGAAATAAAATGACAAAAGCAAATAACAAAATTACTAAAACTATAATTAAAATGAAAACCAATCTATAGCTTTAGTATATAAAGAAAAAATAGAAAACTTTTCCAATAATCATTATATTACTTATCTTAATTCATTAATTACAACCCCTCTATAGTTTCACAAAGGAAGTTACTCACAACACAAATCTCACTAATCACGGAGGAGCTGAATAAGGCTAGTGGATTTTTACCACTAGGTCAGCCAACTAGCACACACCGGTCATCTTCTGAGGGCCTGTGACACTTCACACACTGTACACAATACAGCTCCCACAGCGTAATACCGAGCTGCCATGGAGATCTCCACGGCAACAGTTTAAGTCCTGGGTCTTGGGGGGCAATCATTCCCGGCACGCTCTCTGGCTGAATGAATGTGCCGCTGCAATATCATCTTACTCAACAGTTTGAGGAAGTTCCTTCTGCCTTACTGACTGATTCACTCAAAGAGATCTGCTGAGGCAGCATGTTTTGTGATTAAATAAACTGAATTAGATGACAAGGATTTGACATTCCAGCCCAGGCAGACATGTTTTCCAATGCCACAGCTGTCTCGGCCATAACTCACAGATAAAATACACTGTTTGCTCAAGACAACTGCAGCATGTCCTTGGCTCTCCTCAATGGTCACGGCTATGACAACAAGCAGCTGGTCTCACACTTCAGACAGTGAGGGCCACAGGGGAGGCAGATCACAAAATTCCCCAATCCACATAATATTTATGTATTAAATATGTATCCCTAAGTGTAAATAGCATGTAATGAGTCATTTACTTTCACTGACTAAATTGAATGAGGAGCTTGTGCTTTCTTTCAGTCACTTACAGCAGCCATCTTCAATTCAACCCGAAACCAACTGTTTCTACAGACCTAGCGGCACCATATGGGTATTTTATCTTGCTCTAGATTTGAGTGTTTACACAGATCTCCCCCAATCCAATCCAAATCTAATTTTGAGCATTAGGTTAGGTGGTTCTAAGTATAGGAGCTGCTAACACAAAAAAGCTAAAGTGAAATTCTGTAAATGGAGTGTGTATTCAAAGTATTTAGGGCACACACAAAAAAAACAGGAACATGGCGTTATTATTTTTTATATTTAGCATATTTTTCATTTTAAAGTTTTAATTTAGAGCATACATCAACTGAAAGCAAATTAAATGATCCTCACTGCAGAACACGAAATCCAGGTGGAGGAGTTGGATCCAGATACAACTCTTCCCACTTTATATACATCTAAACCTACCATCTCTGCCCCCTGATCCCTAACCCCACCCCTAAACCTACCCATCTCCGCCACTGATCCCTAACCCCACCCCTAAACCTACCCATCTCCACCCCTGATCCCTAACCCCACCCCTAATCCTACCCATCTCCACCCCCAAATCCCTAACCCCAATCCTAAACCTACCCATCTGCGCCCCTGATCTCTAACCCCACCCCTAAACCAACCCATCTCCACCCCTGATCCCTAACCTCACCCCTAATCCTACCCATCTCCACCCCAAAAATCCCTAACCCCATTCCTAAACCTACCCATCTGCGCCCCTGATCTCTAACCCCACCCCTAAACCTACCCATCTGCGCCCCTGATCTCTAATCCCACTCCTAAACCTACCCATCTGCACCCCTGATCCATAACCCCACCCCTAAACATACCCATCTCCACCCTAATACCTAACCCCACCCCTAAACATACCCATCTCCACCCCTGATACCTAACCCCACCCCTAAACCTACCCATCTCCACCCCTTAGATCGGGGATCTTTTTTCCCCCTCATTTTAAATCTCGAGTTCTCCTTGGAAATTTGCTGGGGTCCCCTAGTGGGCCCCGGGCTCCTGGTTAAGAACTACTGAACTAAAATTATTTCAAGTCGGGCAATCAAATGTATTGCATCACAAAAATGGATGACTTTTAAATAGAACAAAGTGTGTATGAGGTTCGTGCCTTAGGATTGCACAACCCCAAAGTCAATCCCCCTGTCCTTTATTCCTCCCTCTCACTGGGTGAAGTCCAGGTGTACGCCACATTCAGAGAATTTGAAAGGCTGGAGGATCAGACGAAAACAGTTTACATTATGCTAAACTGATATGATATTCTCCCTATAACAGTCGAACATGTTTAAATACTTCATTCCATCCTTTTTCCATTTAATCCCATCACAATCGAGTTTAAAACATTAACACATGCACATTATGACACTGGTGGAGAGGTTTATAGAAATAAAACCCTGACGATTCATTTGCAACAATATGCAGGTAAATCATTCAGAGTGGTCAGGAGAGATATTTATACTTCACAATTACACTCTTCCTAACTTGCCAAACTTCAAGTTTGACTTATGCTAAAGTAAAAGGCAAGTGCAAAGTAACATTGTGACAACAATAACACTTAAACAATCCAAAAAAAAAAAAAAGGTAGTTAAACCAGCACTAGTCACACACACACAAGGGACACATTGACAGACTTTCACAACTGAAATTATAAGTGACACACAAGTGAGGCTGCAGCCCATACAGATCCCCTTTGAAGTGACAAAATGATGTGTTGGGACAACAGAGCGTGGTGTCGGAACATTTGGCACCGGAAATGCAAAAGCTGCAGGAAGTGATCCTTGTAATCTTAGTTATGTAAAAACTACACTGCCATGATTTGTTTTTATCTAACAAGTAAAAGTATCCATAAACAAAAGGGATGATCATACATGAAACAGATGATCATACAGTATCAACAACATAGCCTCCCCTTTGAGGACCCATTATATGCAAGATAACATATTATGTGCAAAACATTTTTGGATTAAGAAAATGATGCATCTTCAAAAGCATTTGATACAAAATGTGTGATGAGGCTAAACAAAACTTGCAGATTAGCAATACAACTTGCAGTATTGCCTAATTACAGACAACAGAGTAACAAATCAAATATGGCCTAACCAGCTTCCTACGTGGCTTTATTAATATGTATTTGCGTGTATAATAATCATGATCCATTTGCATACAAATCATGTCAAATGTACAAAGACAGCAGAAAATTCACAATCAGAGAGATCAGACCAGTCACAAGTAGGCATCATCCCGGGCTTCAAATTCAACATATTAAACGTGTTATCAGAATGACCAATTCCACAGCTGTCAGGTGCCATAACAACTGTCAGACTCTTCCAAGGTCTCCTTAAATGTGACACGGATTGCAGCAGTTAGCTAACTGACACTGTCAGTGACAGTGTGCACAGCAGCCGGCTATTTGCTCTAAAAACGATTTAATGACAGCATGTAACGTTAGATAGATAGAAAATACGTCGTAAATTACAGGATCGCCCCTACGAGCTAGGCAAAGTATGTAATCCCAAAACTTACCAAACAGATCCCACTATATATAACTGGTTGCAATAACCTTCTATCGGCATACAAGCACCATGACTTTCCATGTGCAGCTACTTCCGCATCCGGGTCGAGGAGCGCAACACTTTACTGAATGAAAACAGGAGGGGGGCCGATAAACACACGCGCGTTTAAACAAGCTATACATTGCTAATACGATTTTTTTTCCCAAGAACATATTCTTAATTTCCAGATATAATAGGTTATTTTGGCCATTAAAATTATTCAATACAGGGCCACTTAAGATTCAGACCGTAGTGAAACAACGCTCTCCTCTCTCTGGCTCAATGGTTCCGTCCCAATGAAGGTGACCTTCAGTTTATTAGTGTTCATGCGCGCTGTAACAGAACATGTGCTTCAAGATCTCCTCACACACAGCTACACTTTACACTGATGATAATGAAAGTAAACTTGTAAATAACGAGTAAATCACTAGCGTTCACGTTTAAGAGCTTCACATGGTCGTTAAATCATTTATCCCAGATCTGCACTTTCTATTGACTTTGCTAGAGCAGAGGCAGGAGTAAATATGTCTTGCTGTGTGTTATTGTCATTTACTTCACTACTTTATTGCAATAGTCATTTATGAGCATTAACTACTTAAAACTTTTTAAACAATTTAATTGAACCACAGTATACTGTTGAATATAAAAAGGACACATGAAATTACAATAAACACCCTTTTGTCACTGCTATTTGTGTATACTCATGCAAAAGAGACACCTTACATTAACCTTTGCTAAAGTTTACCATCCTACTAGCTTAAGTTAAATTAGTCTGGCCTCCAATTAAAATAGCATGAATAATTAAACTTAATTGCTCAGCTTTAAAACATTTAAGTTAGTTGGATGGAAATTGTTCAACCACTACAAGATAATTCCAAACATTTTAGCCAGTAATAACAAAATACTAGGGAAAAAAAACAGAAAGAGAACTCAAGCATTCTGACACTGCAAGGACATTTTAAGTCAATTTTAGTTTGACAACCTGCCTTCTTACAGAAAATATAATACTGAGAACCAAGCTGTGAATAAGTTTATCTACACCAAGCAGCAAGATAAGATCTAAATCAAGAGCAGAACGTATTAAGACTTAAAATGAATGGCCTGCACAAGGTTGTGAGCACAATGAAAGCACCTACTTCCCATTCAGAAACACAATGGTGATAATGGGTGTAAAGCAGACACCCCCACGGGACAGCGCGTTTATGTCCTTTGATACCTAACGTTACTTCCTTTTGACCTCTATCCAGTTCAAGTCAATCATACATCATTCACTCAAAAGTGACGTGTTAAAATACAACAAGATCAGAGAGAGCACAGTGATTTTTGCCTTTGTGGCTGCATGCTACAGTGCAACCTGCTTTAATGCTTAAGTTACATACCGCAAGCACATGGATCCTTCAAGGCTGTCTTGCTGCTGTCTTTGCTGTTTTCTGTCTCGCCTTCCCGGGCAAGATCAACGGGCACTGATGCTGGGATGTCATCCGTCTTGCTAACCATGATTCGTTTCCCAGAATGCTAGTTTGGTTTCAGAGTTAGCAACAGATGTCCGTTGCTGAGAGCTGTGATGTGGGTCTGTTGAATGGCCTTCCGTCGGACGGAATGGCTAGTTACATCCAAAGATATTACAAAAACAACTTGACTTGAGAAGGACAGTTCTCAACTCAGCCTGGCTGTCACACGTGGTTTCTCCTCCTCTTGACCTGCTTGCCTTTGTATTTGTCCCACCCACCAAACACACGGCTGCCTACGGCAACCCTATAGCTCCATTTTGAGAAGCGCGTTTTACCCATACACAGTATAAGAAGGTTTTAATATTTATTTTACTATTATTATATTTATATTATATTAGTTCGTTCTTTATGAGGTAGGATATGGGATTTGCAAAACGGCCGGTAGATTATGAAAATACACAATTCAAAAGGTCCTACCTAGGGTGACCATATTTTGGTGGTTATAAATGACACAAATTCAGATAGGCTAGCTTCTCAGGCTCAGAGGTTACTCCACATGTTTTATTACATGTTTCAAAAATAATGAATGAAATAATGTCTCGTATTAGAAAAATAAATATATAAATAATAAATAACTAAAAGAAATACCTCCAAATTGAACAAAAATAGCTCTCACAATCATACAAAAACGAACTGACAAAATGTATTTATATCTTAAGTTTTTTTCCTCTTTGTCCTGTTTTTCTTGCTCATCCTTGTTTGGCCATCTATGTTTTGCTCTAGAGCTGATCTTTCCCAGCAGGTTTTTTTTTTTTTTGCTCTAGAGCTGATCTTTCCCAGGTTTTTTTTTCTTTTTTTTTTTTTAAACCAGGACATTTTCATCACTTTATAAAAAACAGCCAGGACAGGACGTGAAAACAGAACTGTTGGTTACCCTATCCTACATTCTTTCCTCCTCACAGTCTCTCTGTACATTTTCTTGTCATTTGGTTTATTTAATGAACGAAATGAACGAGTTGACTCTGGAAAAGATTCGTTCATTTTGATGAACGAGTTCGAACAGGAGAGTCACGAAAGCAAATCACAGAACAGAGCAAGGCGACCATTTGAGCTTATTTAAACTTAAACTTTGTTATTTTTTTTAAATGAGTGATCGTTTCGCTTGATAAGACCCTTATTCATCGTCTGGAATCGTATAAACCCTTTGAACAGTTTGCAGTTTGTACTGAAAGTGTCTTTTGGACCTTAAACCGTTTGGTTCCCAATTAAGTCCATTATATGGAGAAAAATCCTAGAATGTTTTCACCAAAAACCTTAATTTCTTTTCGACTGAAGAAAGAAAGACATGGACATCTTGGATGACATGGGGGTGAGTAATAATAATAGTAATAATAATAAATAATCAGCAAAAGTTTTTTTTTTAAAGTGAACTACTCCTTTAAGTGTTAAGGAAATTATAACAACATCTGCAACAATACAATTGTTATTCTCTAAAGTTGACATTTCTAACCATGATTAAGGTTGCAATTAACACAGTAATTTAAAATAAACCCACTTATGTAAACAGTGAATTATTTATTGCGACACATTGTCATTCGACAAGTTGCACAATGGGTTGCTCGTAAGAGATTTGAAGTACTGTGTGTACATTTCAAGACTTTCCAAATGTTTGTGAAACAGCACACTGATGCTATTGGCCAAACATGCAAATACAGTGTGTGAACATTGCTGCATAATCACTTATTTCCCTGTCATATACCTGTCATTCTTAAAAACAGGACAAACAAAAAATAAGTTTTAAAACCTTTATCATATAACAGTCAGACTGTTAAAAGGAAGACTTTTTTCCACACTTAAGGATAGAAAAAATCCAAATAAAATCACCATAAAACCCTCGGTAACCACAATGTTAACCGCATGGAAGTGGAGAGAACAAAATAACATAAGAACCATCAGATATTGCATTTACTGTATCTATGGATTATTGTTTCCAATTTAACACAATTTTCAAATATGTATGCTGTAAATATGATTATATAGAAATCATCATGTGCGGCAGTATTGCTTCTCTTTTTAACATCACAACGGTATAATAAAGAGCTAAATAAAAATTAGACAATTAATCACTTCATAATCATCAATGTGTTACCAAGATGAAACATTAAATGAAAAACAAAAAAAATTATTAAATAACTAATGTGATTATATCATGTATCACAGTCTAAACCAACCTAATGTCCTAAATCGTTCATATGTCTGCACTGATACAATACAAAAACTGGTTATAGGCCTTTTAAATAGTCAGGCATATCAGCGTATACATTTACAAAATAAGATTTCAGACCCTGAGTGAAGCTAATATCACTTTTTGTTAGGGCTGTGTCAAATTAGACACAATTTTAAGCTAAAAGGAAAACATTTTATGCATTCAGTTACAATCCCTATTCAAACTGCTTTTCATTTTTGGATTTTTAACAAACTTATATTCAACATTACAAGCAAAATTACCATTCGGATCTAATAAAGCAAAGAGAAATATCACATATACAATTGTAAATATCTTTAGAAAAGCTCAGTTTGCAAATAGGTGGTAAACCACCTTTACTGTCATGTTTCAGCAGAATTACAGTCTTCATTGCAGGTGTGATACCATGGTAGCCTACTCATTAGACCCCATTATTAAAAATTATTAGTGTCTGTTAATTGTCAAGAAAGGTAATATTGTCTGTCACTCCCATTCAATCCATTTCCATAGACTAACTAATGCTCTTTTAGTTACGCATCTTATGAATTTACAAGCTTTTGTGTGATACGAACAGTTAATATGTTTGTTTAATAAGTATCACATATTAATCATCATATCACCAAAGCTCGGTATATGCACATACACATGACCTCACAGAATTATAGATTGCGATTCGAATGAAACGTCTGCAATATCTGCAACATCCCACTAGAATATTACAGCATAAGCAGCAGCATAAAACTAATCAGTCCTCTGTGATCACTGGCTCATTTAATGATGCCAGAACAATGGCGCGTTGATCCTCAACCCCACTCTCTTCTAATCAACAAGCCCACGCGTAAACACTATATACCAGATAAAGCACTTAAGCAAATGATTCAGACTGTACAGCAGATCTCATTCACACAGGATTTCTCTAACTGGACCAGTATCTATCCCCATAAAGCATCAGGAAGGATGAGAGAGTGCACTTGTGGTGACACCAGATAACCCGATCATTCAGAAATATCTGCGCTGAGGCATTCCACAACAAGCGAATAGATTAAAACCAGTTGAACCCAGACTCAGCAGCAGTAACCGGTTCACAAGGACACACGTTTCGCACATCATGCGTCTGCAGTGAATAAACAGCAGGGTCATGCTTTCACACTGACAGTGCTTTGCTAGCTCTATACAGAAATTGAAGTGGTTTATGAGTTACATATAGCATATATCTTATCTATTTTCCTTTAAATTAGGAGGGGACGGCATTTGAATAGTATTTACATCTATTCAAACACCTTTGTGTAACAATGATGATATCCATTAAATTGTATTTTTATCCATTCCAAACAGCAATATTTTAATGTTATTTAATGCCTTACATCTGGCATGAACATTTTGTTTCCGGATATTAACTGAATTGCGTTTACACCTTCATTCTAATGCGTCTCCAGTGTGTGATCAAATTTCAGATCACATTTACATGCGCAAAATGCAAATCGCCACATTATTATTAGATAATAGAGTACATTAACTATTGGTTTAACTTAAAAAAGTAAGTAACCTGGTTGCCTTCAAATTTTAAGTTGATTGAACTGGAAAAAGTGAGTTAATACAATGAAGGAGATTAATTTAATTATCAGAAACTCAAAATAATAAGTTATCTTAAAGTTGATTTGACAAAAGAAAAAATGTTGTGATGGCAAATCTTGAATTTTTTTTTTTTTAGAATTTTAAAAACATTGCTGTATAATTCAATATGCTTTCAGTCGTTAATTGCATTTCCCTTCTTTCGCCTAATGACAACACATGTGCATTTACACTTAAATAGAATTAGGCTGAATTCGGAACCTCATACCACTCTTGCTACACGCAAAAAAATGATATGTTGGCTTTAATTAACTTTTGTATGTCAGCAGGTTCCACATAACTGGGTTACGTTAAACAAACATCATTTGTTCATGTAACTGCAACACAATGGAATTAAGTCCTTTTAAGTGATGAACACTGAAGCAGTATTAAAGTTAACAAGATAATTAAGTGAATAATTGAGGGATGATTGATCATTATTGAAGACACATGATGGTAACAAGCAGAATCACCGGAATTTGCAAGTCACCATTATGGTGATCAAAGTGTGTTTTAGTTGGGCTCTTAATCAACTTTAACACTGCTTCAGTGTTCATTTAACACTTGATTGCGTCACTTAAAATGACTTATTCCATGATGTTGAAGTTACATGAACAAATTATGTTTGTTTAACGTAACCCAGTTATGTGGAACCTGTTAACATAAAAAAGTTGATTAAAGCCAACATATCATTTATTTTTTTGAGTGTATTTCTGCCATAGAAAGATATGGTAAGCGTGACAATGTGGTTCCGAATTCAGCGATAGAATCGATCTCAGACCACCTCCAAATGTTTTTTTTTTCAGTCAGTGATCACAGTCAATTCGATTCTGATGTGAACCCAGAGGATATAATAATATAATATGACGTGTAATGCAGCTTACATAAGACTACACGATTTTATTCCTGGTTTTCCAGTCACCAACAGTGAATTGCAATCGCGGACGAAATCAGAGGTAAATAGGTGCTCGTTCACGCAAGTAACGATGGCTATATGCGTGAATTTTCAAATAGGCGAGGCGATCTTGAGAGATATTTATCCTACATTTATTAAGCAGGTTAATGACAACATGAAATTAAATTCACCTTTTTATTTTGTAAATGCATGTTATAAATCTTACTGTGACTAATTCATCAATGTAAATGATAATCATTAGCCTATTTTATTTATGTAGTGTGAAATACAATAGCAATATAATGTGTGGGTGGCATAAATGTCAGTGTGAAGGCTGTAACCTCTTAATATTGCAAGTGAAAAAAACGAATGCCGCAGATGCAGGATGCGTGAAACGGTATAGAGGACCGTGGGTTATTTTTGATTACAAAAATGCTTTACAGCAACATAAACTTCAATTTTGGTTTAACAAGAGCGTAAGCAAGAATCTCTCCTCTGTCTATTCATCACTGCATGTGCAAACTGTGTATAAAAACAAAAAAAACTAGCAAATATAAACAATTCTGTCACTGTCATAATGCAAAAGGGCTCAAGGTGCAATTCAGGGGAAAATATCATAAAAAGGAGTAGGTTGTTGAGGCGACCTGTAAAAGAAACGCTCATTCAGCGTTGTTCTCTGTAGTGGTCGCAGTGGCTTTAGCTACTGTTGTTGCCAGTCTGCTCACTGAAGCTCCCTGATCGAGCTCCTCCGCATCCTCTCCGTCTGCCTCCTGCAGGGGGAGTCTGTGTGGCGGACGGGGCCGGGATCTGTGTCTGTACGGGTACAGGAAGAGGGCGGGGTCAGGCATGGCCATTGGCTCCTCGGGGCCCGTCACCCTCTCGCGCGGCACGCACTCCCTGGCACGCTCGATGTGGAGGTGCGAGGAGGGCCGGCTCGAGCTCCGCCGTTTGGGTTTGATCACTGTTGGGCTGCTGGCGCTGGCCTGAGGTGAAGGGTGGACAGGGGGCTTGTCCGTGCCGAGCTGGGCCGGCCTCCTCCGCTGCTGCTGCTGCTGCTGCCTCTGCTGCGCGAGTTTCTGCTTTGCTGAATGCAGCTGGAAGGACAGGTATGCAGCCGCCTCTGTCTGCTTCTGCAGCTCGGTGTTGAGCACAGTGGTCCTGTGGCTGCGGTGTTTTAATTCATCAAGGAAACGCCGCTCCTTCTCCTTCAGACTGGCCCGGAGAGCGCCCACCAGAACTGACTTCTGGCTCAGCTCCCATCTCAGGTCACTCTGGACCTCCTGCTGGTCCTGCAGTTGCTCCTCCACCTCCTGACAATGGGCTTCCAGCTGCTTTTCTTCCTCATGCACATCTGGAACACATATAGAACAGAAACTTTTGAGGTAAAAACCTCGATTCAGTGGTTCTGTGAACCAAGTTTAAGCACTGTGTGAATTATACTAGGACTTTCAGGAAAATTTCTAAAGGTAATTTTCATGGGATTGTTCTAGCACAATTTAAACTCTCTTTAGACGCTCCAAGCAAAATTAGTTAGCATCAACTGACAATCTTGAAAACGTTTAGGATAAAATCATTTTAAATTACATTACATCATTCATTTTAAATAAAAGTCTTTTGATCAATTTAAAGGAGTAGTTCACTTCAAAAAAAACTTTTGCTGATAATTTACTCTCCCCCATGTCATTCAAGATGTCCATGTCTTTCTTTCTTCAGTCGAAAATAAATGAAGGTTGTTGATGAAAACATTACAGAATTTTTCCCCATATAATGGACTTTACTGAAACGGTCCAGTTTCAGTGCAGCTTCAAAGCGCTTTAAACGACACCAGACGATGAATAAGGGTCTTATCAAGCGAAACGATTGGTCATTTCAAAAATAAATAAAAAACTTTAAGTTTTATAAGCACAAATGCTCGCCTTGCTCTGTTCTGTGATGCGCGTTTGTGACTCTCCTGTTCGAACTCGTTCATCAAAATGAACAAATCTTTTCTCAAGTCGAAAGAACAGAGCAAGGGGAGCATTTGTGCTTATGAAACTTAAACTTTTTTAAATGACAGATCGTTTCGCTTGATAAGACCCTTATTCATCATCTGGAGTCGTTTAAAGCCCTTTGAAGCTGCACTGAAACTGTCTTTTGGACCTTGAACCATTTGGTTCCCATTGAAGTCCATTATATGGAGAAAATCCTGGAATGTTTTCATCAAAAACCTCAATTTCTTTTCGACTGAAGAAAGAATGATATGGACATTTTGGATGACATGGGGGTGAGTAAATTATCAGCAAAAGTTTTTTTTTTTTTTTTTTTAAAAGTGAACTACTCCTTTATGCATGCTTGCTGAATAAAAATAATAATATACGTTTTTTTTGTTTTTTTTTTTATCATACTGACCCCAAACTTTTGATTGGTAGTTTATGAGTAATTAAAATGTTTGGTATACATATGGCCAGTTTCACAGACTAGGCTCTAGCTTGTCCCAGACTAAAATGCATGTTTGTGCTCTTTTTTTACTGAAAGCAACTTCCACTGACATTTCTTAAAAAATGTCAGAGCCATTGTTTTGTCTCAGGGTGCACATCAGTAATGTTTTTTTCTAAGGCATGTTTATAAAAGCTACTTAAATGCCCTAATTGAACTAAAACCTAATCCTGGCTTTATCTCAGCCCTTTCAGTGAAACCGAACTTTTTGTTTGGTGGGGGGATCAAAACCCCCTGTAATTCATACATCTTACAGTTTTACATTTTACATGCAGAAGCTTCATCTCACATGTCTGCTGCTAAAATGAGTGTATGATCTTATGTATGATCCATCTTGTGATAAGAAACAGACATATCTAATATGAACAAGCCCCTGCGTGCGTTTAAAATCCGATTTTAGCCATAAAAGCGAATTTGTAACTAATCTGAGATCTAAAAGGTAAGTGGATGTGGTTGAGGAAAGCAGACAAAGAGCTCTTCTGTGCCAAAGGATTACAGACTCACTGAGTAAATCCAAATCAACCAATCTCAACTCTGGTCTGGCTACTGGCGGTGTTGCCATCTGTTCAAGGTTATCAGACACATTAAATGTCTAGGACATGACCTCCCAGAGCATGCTTGACTACTGTGCCCACAAAGCAGAGAGCAAATGTGAAGTGAATTGCTTGCACACACACACACACACACACACATACAAAACAAATGACATAATAAGAAACTGTTTTTTTGGCAGAAATGATACATCAATGGTCAAACTGTCAAACTGAAACTGAAAGGTGAATTCATTGGTATTTTCATCTTTTCCTAAATATTAAAATAAACTAAAATTCTGCAATTAGACCTTCAATACTTCATGGAAATGTGACATGCTATCACTGTTTGTTTTTTGCTCTGCTTTCGGTTATTAGCATCTTGTATTTTTCTAATTTGTAAGTCGCTTTAGAAAAAAAGCATCTACTAAATAAATACATGTAAATGTATATTGCACTATTACCATCACTCCCACATTACTAAAAAAAATGACATAATTTACAGTATTTAGTGTCAGATATGAGTAGGAAAATGTGCCATAGAATTAGACAGAAGCAAGGAAGAGCAGCTGGCGTATGGCACGTCATTTATTACAAACAAATGAAGGATAAAACATGTATTTCCCAGTTTTTCAAGTGTCTTTACGCTTATATATGAATGTAATGTGTTTCAGATCAATTGCAGGCTATGGACTGAAAAGGAATAATGTAATCAGTGTCCTTCAAATGATCCACTCAAACTTAATGACCTCGTGCTGAGTTCAACATCATTCTATAAATATTGTCTCTGGTGCTCTCCTTTATTTTACTGCAACTAGCACAAATCTGTCTCTCAATTTGTCCAGATTGTCCCGATTTCACAGTCGGTCTATCAGCCTCACCCATGCGTCCAGAAAGAGATGAGCTCATGGTGTGAATATAGAAAATGTTGTGTTATCTGATCCTTAAATCTGATCTCTCTACTGTTCCTCAATGAGTTCACTCTTTGCGGCCTCTGACCCTTTTAATAGAATATGTAATGAAACTGAGATGTCGACAACCATCGGTTGACAAAGACATTAGGGCAGATAAGAATGATAGACAAAAAAAGCATTGTTCATTTAATACTCACATTGCGCCAGCAATATGCTTGTAAATTAGAAAATCATTTTCACTATTAATCAGTGTTTGGTTCCTCTGGGGTTTCTTTGACGAATTCTCTCAAAGTTATGAACAAACGTTTTTCCAGTAACAAATAGAATGTTTGTTTAAATTTATCTGGTCTTTAATAATGTTCTTAAAACGTTAGAACAGTTGTTGTTAAAGGATGCGCGTTTGTGACTCTCCTGTTCGAACTTGTTCATAAAAATGAACGATTCTTTTTCCGAGTCAATTCGTTCATTTCGTTTGTTGAATGAACCAATTGACTCGAAAAAAGATTCGTTCATTTTCATGAACGAGTTCGAACAGTAGAGTCATGAACGCACATCACAGAACAGAGCAAGGCGAGCATTTGAGCTTATAAAACTTAAACTTTGTTATTTATTTTTTAAATGAACGATCGTTTCGCTTGATAAGACCCTTATTCATCGTCTGTAATCGTTTAAAGCCCTTTGAACAGTTTGCAGTTTGCACTGAAACTTGCTTTTGGACCTTGAACCATTTGGTTCCCAGTAAAGTGCATTATATGGAGAAAATCCTGGAATGTTTTCATCAAAAACCTTAATTTCTTTTCGACTGAAGAAAGAAAGACATTTTCATCTTGGATGACATGGGGGTGAGTAAATTATCAGAGAAAGTATTTTTAAAAGTGAACTATTCCTTTAATTGGACATTCACCAAACATTTATTATTATTAGTATTTTTTTTTAATTACTGCTAATTTCAAGATGTTAGAAGATTCAAAAGTAACATTCCCAAAATGTTTCCAAAATGATAAAAAGGAATGTTCCCTTAACGTTCGCATAACCAAGAAAAAACATTTTTTGGACATTTAAAACGATGAGAGACCATTCTGAAATAATGTTCATATCATTAATTCATAGAATTATTTCATAACTGAATGTTATGAAAATTTCATTCTATAACTTAATGGGAATGTTAAAATTTGTTAGCTGGGTATGTGTTGCTAAGCGACTGAAAGGTTGATTCTACTTTTGTCTGGAATTATTTTCATTGGCAAAGCACAAATACCTAAAGTAAATGCTAATATTATGTCTTAAGTGTAAGTTACACAATATTGACCTCATCATGTTTATTGATCTCTTATATGAAAGCAATATCACACTCACAATCATGCTGCTGGAAGCTTCACAATTAGGCCATTTTACTGATAACAGCTTTGTTTTGAGTAGAGAATACATTAAAATAAAAATGTTAAGTTAATGTATATATTGCTGAATATAAGTATTAGTATCTTTAAAAGAAACTGTTACTGTGCCCAAAAGTTTGGTTGGTATAATGTGTTATGTTCATACTGTGGTATTTAATTTAGATAACTGATTACATGTTTACTAAAACGTATGATTAGAATTTAGAAATCTCTTTTTTTCTCTCCTATACTCAGCTTTCTTTTGCTATTCCTCTCTGTCTCCTTGCCCGACTTTGTCTCAGCAAAATAGCATGCAGTAATTGGACACCCCCACTGGGACTGTGCAGCAAAAGCAGAGGAAAACGCAGGCAAGATCAATTTGTGGGTGGATAAGGGCTGCGTCGGGCTGGAGGAGAGAGGGATGACCTGCGGTATAAGAGGAGTCTTCTGCTTAACAGTGATGCCTCTTGATGTGATATTGACTATTTTTAAATCAATTATTATTACAATCATAAGACACAGTCATCAAAAACACTATATGTGCCTTGTTGAGGCTAATCACTTCAATTCAGCCAATTGCATGAAATTGTAACAACAAAAGAAGAGCTGAGTGCAAAATAGTATTTATTATCAGTCAATTGAAGACGCTAGAGTCTTTCAAATGTGATCTAGTATTAACAGATACCAAAATACTGTATATGCAGATAGTAAAGATACTAGATGCTGTTGTATTAAATAGACCTACTGCTGTTCTTCTCGTTGCTTTGTACAAGTAAACACATGGGCTAACAATCCATAAGTAATTCTGCTCACAAATAAATCAGAGCTCACCTGCTACGCTCCTGCCTGGGGGCTTCAAGTTGAGTTCTTGTGTGAGTTCTGCAAGTAATAAACATGTGAAATATTTTTTTTTTTTTGATTCTTTATTTTCTGCATTTTAAAACTGACACATTATAAAATAATTTATAAATCATGCCATAGGTCTTGCATGATCCATGATCCAATTAATTGTTATTAGATAAAATGTCACATCCTACATTTCATTTGGCACAGATTATGGAAGTGAAAGCAATAATAAAGCTCGGTTTATTTATTAAATTATAAAAAGTGACAGTAGACACATTTATAATGTTTCAAATTATTTTTATTCCAAAATAAATGCTTTTCTTTTGACACACTGGAGTAATGGCTTTTGAAATGTTGATATTACTAGAGTAATGGCTTTTAAAATAGTTTTATTTCACAAAATTACAGTTTTTACTGTTTTTTTTCCCCAAATAAAAGCTGCCTTGGTAAGCATAAGGTACTCCTTTGAAAACATTAACATAACATACCTTTTAATGGTAAGTTATGCATGAAAGGGTATGAAGATAAAAACTGATTTCCTGTGGTTATGAATTAGAATGATTGGTTAGAAGAGCAGAAAAGCAAAGGGATGAATATGCAATATGCTGCTTTTTCTTGCCTAGCTGGCTCAGCACATTTACAGCAGCGTTCAGGTAGAAAGGCTGTGTACTATATTACTGAGAGGGAAAACACAAGCCCTGTGCTGACAGGAAGCTATTGACCTGTGGTCCTCTCTGTGGAGCAAAGAGAGCAACGTAACCCTGCTCTTCTCTGCAGAGGATCCTGGCATTATGCATTCAGGGCATTGTCTATGCATTTAGATTTAGATTGTGTGACAACATTATTTTTGGAACAACATCCAATTATGTTCTGATTTAATAATAAATGAAATGTCACTCAATTTAATTATGCATGTAATGTATGCACACTGAAATTAAAATGCTGAAGGATACTGTACAGTGGGAATGGTCTTGACACACACCTGTGCAGCGTTTCTGGAGGGACAGGATCTCCAGGTGTAGTCCGTGCAGCAGAGACAGCTGTTCCTGTCTAAGGAAGACAATGCTCCTCTCCACACCCTCCACCTGCCGCTCTAGAGAGACCACCGGTGATCCCTTTACCATACAAAACACAGGGATATTTATTTACAGTATATGATAGTACGTTCCTGTCCTCTAAGTCTTCTAAGAGTACTGACATTTAGTACAAAACTGGGACTTTCCACTGTTTAAATCAGAGCATCTGTCTTTTTTTCTCACTCCATAATGCTCTCATGAGTGAGGAAATAAAAGTGGTGCAGGGATGACATATTTTTGAAGGCCAAAACTAGAAACGAGTTAGCATTTTAGCACCTCTGGTTCCATTGTCTTGAAGTCAAGGGGTGTTTCTCAAGTGGAAGGCTGCATACTTTCGAGACTGTGTCCTTTCTAGACAGTCCTTCTGAGGACTGTTCAAAGGGCTTTAAACGATTCCAGACTATGAATAAGGGTCGTTCATCAAAATGAACAAATCTTTTTCTGAGTCATTTGGTTCATTCAACGAACAAAAGGAACGAATTGACTCGAAAAAGATTCGTTCATTTTGATGAACGAGTTCGAACAGGAGAGTCACAAACGCGTGTCACTGAACAGAGCAAGGCGAGCATTTGAGCTTATAAAACTCAAACTTTGTTATTTATTTTTTTAAATGAGCGATCATTTTGCTTGATAAGACCCTTATTCATCGTCTGGAATCGTTTAAAGCCCTTTGAACAGTTTGCACTGAAAGTTTCTTTTGGACCTTGAACCGTTTGGTTCCCATTGAAGTCCATTATATGCAGAAAAATCCTGGAATGTTTTCATCAAAAACCTTAATTTCTTTTCGACTGAAGAAAGAATGACATGGACATCTTGGGTGACGTGGGGGTGAGTAAATTATCAGCAAAAGTTTTTTGAAAAGTGAACTACTCCTTTAACCTCCTGAGACCCTGCGTGCACATACGGGGACATCACATTTTTGGTTCTGTGCAGCATAATACTTAATTCTGTGTGACTGGAACATGTTTTTCACAAACGAGGACACTTACACTGCCATCTGGTGGCGTCAGAAGAGAAAAAAAATTAACATAAATAATTTAAAGATGGCAGAGAAAACAGGTCACATGTCACGCAGCCACTCCAGACCAAAACTTCCACAAGGTAAACAATCTAATAACATTTCATTGTTGATTCTTGTTAAGTTATGCATAATAGTGTTGTATGTTTGAAACGGCATGCACATTTGACAAACTTTTGTAAAAATAAAGATTTACCAAGCTGCTAAAGTTGATGTCCCCATATGTGGACATTGGGACTAAGCTTCGTTGAAACTTGCAAAAAAAATGAAAATTTGTAGTTGCATTGAGCTTCGTGGCAGGCTCACACACTCGAGCGCACACACACACACACACACACTCAACGGGGCGGGGCTTCACTCACGATCGCGCATGCACACATACACACACTTGCTCACTCGCACACACACACACACGCGCGCACTCCCTCTCTCTCTCTCTCGCTCGCTCACTCACTCGCTATCGCTTACACACACATCACTCACTCGCGATCGCGCGCACACACACACACACATACGCTCTCTCTTGCTCGATCTCCACCGTGGTGGAGCTCTGAAAATCAAAAAATCCCCTGAAAAAGATGGGCTGATTTTTAGAATTGCGCATCCAATGGCGCACCTCTCCTGGGCACGAATAAAGCCCATGGAGGGTTCAGGGGCAACAGTTACACAGTCTTTCACACCGGTTAAGTGTGATCCACTGTTCCCACAGATAAAAAGAAGATTTCTAGTTTGGAGAAGCAGAAATTTTGGAGCATTGCAAAAAAGAAATCAAATTTTCAATTTGTTTTGGATATGTTTTTTTATGTGGATATTATATATTATTATGGATATTATATTTCATTATTATATTTATTTTGTTTTTCCATATCAATTTTCAGAAGTTATGCATGCAAGAGTAACAATGAAAAATGTTCAGGCACAATGCTCATGCTGTAAAAAAAAAATAGATTTGCACTTTTTTACACAATGGTGTATTGATTGTTTTCTGTGCATACAAACAATTTTTTGTTTTTTGTTTTTTCCAAAAGTGCTTCATGTTCAAATATAATATCTGGTTATATTTCTTGCTCCCTCCTAACCCCAAAAAGCTAAGAAATCTAAAAGCACACCAAACCAAAACTCAGGTCTCAAGTAGTTAAGATAGACCCACTGTCCTTGCATGAGGACATCATTTTATGCAAAAACTACTTCCTGTACAAAAACAAATTTTAGTTATTATACTTATTAGGTCCTACTTGTCCCAAATAGCAAGAAAAATTATAAAATGCACACCAGGCAAACTCTCGGGTCTCAGGAGGTTAAACGCTAGAAAGAGATGGTCTAGTAAGAGCGCATAAGAATGTCACTCACGCTTCTGCCGCATGGGCACGGCATGAAAATACTATTAAAACCTAATTTTGGATAAATGCTTTATTAAAAATCTTTCTATTAACTGGCTTTCTATTATTGCAATACAATGAATGACAGCTGTCTGTGGTCTCCCAGTGGCTTACAATATAGGCAGTTTACTGTTTGTGATTTTTTTACAGCCAAACAAATGATAACATTTGCTTTTATGTCCAAACACATTATTTTTAATAAACTGAGACAAGCTTAATAACCGACCTGTTTTCTCTCTGTTTATTTTGAGCAAATGATTGTGGGTGATTGAGATGTTTGATGTTGAGTTATGCACCCTTCATAGGAAGGAGCCTTGCGTTTGAGAAACACCCAATGAGTTTTGAATGGGTTTTCGTGTTTTGTTAATTGGACTTTCAGTTTGTATTTTACCCTGTGCTGTTGCTGTTTCTTGTCCTGTGTGCCATTTTTTGTAGTTTTTCTAGTAGAGACCTATCAATATATCGGCCGATATATCCTAACTATCGGTATTGGCATTTATAATGGCCAATAAATAAAAATTTTTTTTAAATGCGGGTGTGGTGATTCATGTAAGGGTGGCGATGCCAATAAAGCATAAAAGCTGTCACAAAGAACTGGCAAAAGTAATGATTGAGAATACATCAAATATAGCAAGGAGACATTTTAATTGTTTATTAATAAACAAGTGTTTTCAGTCAGTGTCGCTGCAAAGCTGACGACGCTGACTTGTGATCTTCAGTGAACACACCAGAGATAAATGCACATTTCATATGGATTACAGCACTTTCGTTTTGAATTGCTCTGTTTAAAATTAGACATTTCTCAGGTCTATACGCAGAGTTTCGGTTCATTTATGAGACGAGTTGCAGTTCACACGCCTACCCATAAAAAGTTTGTACACACCAATTGGAAAGTATGTCCAAACTTTTGACTGGTACTGTACTATAATACACATACACAATATTGCTACTGTATTATAATATACACATTAATAATATCGGTCGATATATCGGTATCTGGCTTTTTTTTTTATCGGTATCGGCATTGGCCCCCAAAAATCCATATCGGTCAGGCTCTATTTTCTAGTTGATTAGTTCTGCGATGATTGCCCAGGTATATTTCTTTCCTCTAGGATTTATACCCCAGTGTTTCTTGCATTCCTTGTCCTTGCATGGATGTTTTGATGGGGTGCTTATTCCGCTTCCATGGTTCTCTTACGAGAGGTTCTCTCGTATTGCGTAAGCTAGCTTACGCTACGGGAAAGATTCATCTTTGCTGAGAAGTTGAAGCCAAAAAATTATTCCATAATTTTGTAATCATTGTCAACGCAGTCTCCTCTGAGGCAGACCATGAGCGGGCTAGCTAGCGGCTCATTGGTTCGCTCAGAGAGAATGCACGAACCTATGGGAGAGCGGCGCTGAGTCCGCGGCCAATGAGCGGACGGCGCTCGCTCACTGCGTCACAGCCCGCCAAAAGGGGCGTGGCTACAGTGTATAAAGGTCGCTCTCCCAGCTCGTTCGTTGATTCTTGTTCATTCAGCGAGCTACACGCATCCGCTGTCCTGGAAGAAGCCGCCGTCGTTGAGAAGGCACCGTCTAGCGAGCTCCGGAGTCTGAGGAAGCCGGCCGTCTGCCACCTTCAGCCGCCCAGCAAGCTAGCGCCATCCGACGCGTATCCTTTTTACTATTCCATATTCCTAAAGAGCCGAGCGTCTTTTTCAAGATGCCTCGAATTTCCTGCGGCTCATGCCGCTCTTCACTCGAGGAAGGAGACCGCTTCTGCGTTCTCTGTTTCGGAGTGGAACACGCAGAGCTCGCCAACGGAGGATGCGACCACTGCGAGGACCTGCCTCCGTCTTCCCTGCGGGCTCGACTACAGGCAGTCAGAACCGCTCCCGCGCCGCCTCTCACTTCGCCGCGGAAGAAGAAACGCCGCTCCCAGAGGCCGCCGGAGCCCCCTGCGGATCCATGTGGGCCGCCGCCGCCGCCCACCGACCGCTCTCCCTCTCCGCCCCTGCCGGACTTACAGTTGCCGCCGTATGGCCGCTCTGTCGCCTCCGACGACACCGCGGATGAGAAGGACTCTTGTTCGCTGCACCCTTCTGACAGCGAGGATTGGTCGTCGATCGGCTCATCGACGAGAGAGTCTGCGGGGACCCGCGCCGGCATCGAGGAGGATCTATCGCGCCTCCCTTCGCAGGCCTTCAACCGCCTGGGTCTCGAGTGGTCTCCTCCCCCGAGCAACCACCGAACCGGCGCTCGACCCCCGCCTGCAGCCGGGCTGCACCATTCCTGCCTGAGCTTCACTACGAGCTCACTAAATCCTGGAATGCCCCTCTTTCGGCTCGTATCCGCTCCGAGGGGTCCGCTTCGCTCAGTGGACGTAGCCGCCGAGATGGGTTATACTGCCATGCTGCCCGCGCCTTTGCCGCCGCCGAACAGGCCGCCTCAGCGCTGCATTCCATCCAGGCGCTCCAGAGCGACATCTTGTGCGAGATGGCGAACAGCGGTAGGAACCCGCCCATCCTTTCGGATCTGAGAAGCGCGACGGATCTTTCCTTTCGCGCCACTAAAGCCGCCGCACAAGCCCTGGGAAAATGCATGGCCGCCCTCGTTGTCACTGAAAGACACTTGTGGCTCACGCTCACCGATATGGGAGATTC